ATATAACAACGATTAGCTCTCCCCCATTTAGCAGTTAATATAGCACGGCAATAACGCCAGGACATGTTAATAAAATTTGGAATTACTGATTATTTTAACTGTACGGAGAATAGATCGTCTCGGTCACGTAAAAGTCTCCCTTCCGAGTTAGGAAGAAATTACCACCGCAGACATTTGTTCCCAAACTTTACCTTTCTTCAAGTAGCATCATTACTGACTATAGGGCTCAAGTAATTCTGATGGGGTGGTAGTGTAAGCATGTACAGATATACATACGTAGTATTTCAACAATTTTGGCACCACCAATAAAACAGCAATGAAAAAATCGATTGCGTTGTAAATTAAATCATCTGTAAACTGCACACGAATCATTATCATGCCAGAAACAAAGTAAATGAACAGGATACGACAAATCTGAACTGAATGATTAATAAAGAATTACAAATACTACAGTGTTATCAGAAATCATACGTTACGTAACATTTGAAACACACACGTAGTTTGGCATACCCACACATGTTCATTTCTCAAGCATCTATCAACCAATTTATTTCCGCTTTCATAAACCTAATTACGTAATAAATCTCACCATCAACCCATCTGTACTACTCCTGTGGGACCATACTAAAAGCAATCTCACTGAAAAGCTCTATCCTGTGAGATTGAAAATGAGGTGAAAATTAAGCTTGAAAAGCAAGTAAGCAATAATAGTTTAACGAGACTATGTGTATCTATGTATGTATGTTGTGTAGCCTACAAGTGTATGAAGAGAGATAAATAGTATAACTATTCTATTTAGCAGTAAAACAAGAGTTAAAAGTTAAAGCTTGCTGCAAACCACTAAAAATGATGGCGTTTTAAGATGAAACTTCCATCAAATATACTTACAAGAAAGACAAGAGTGGAAGGAAACATACCGCAAGAATCATGATGAGATTGTCAAGAAATCCAAAGCCAATGAAGGGCAAGGCATTCTTGATTCCAACTGAATAGACAATCCAATGTGCCAGGTGGAAACATTTGCAAAATGAAAAAAGAAGTGCACGTCCATTAGTTACCCAGCATTTATAATTCATATATAGATGTGTATGTGGCATAATGTATGCATAATCTGGGGACCACCTTACACCCAAAATGCTGCTTCTGCTGGGATTATAAGATCGAACGGAGTGAGCGAAAGTTTCTTACTAAGTATTTATCGGAAATCGAATAAGGGAAAAGCCCTAAAAAGTGGAGAAAGTCTGGAAAATCAGCCAGATACCTTTCTCCACACAGATAAGCTCATATAGACGCATCGCACATATGCACACACATGCATGATACATATGTACCTACGTAGTACTTACTATACGTATGTATGTGCACTGTACAGACAAGAAAATATGGCAAACTTGCTTTTGCAACTTTCACTTTGATATATATTTAATGCAATTTAATATTCTCCGATAATTTTTAAGCAACTTCTCTGTCTAAATTTTCCTTTATCAAAGTTTGCATCAATAATAACTTTTGTAAGAGTAATATCGAGATAGGAAACTCACCAGCCCAAATAGCCGCCGCACTTGGAGGGTGCAATTTCTCATCTGAAACAAGGGAATCAAATTAAATTTATTTCGCATCAATATGTAAAATCGATACATTTGAACGAAATTTAAATTCAGTTTCGGCATGACGCATTGGAATAGGAATACATATGTATAGCTATACGCTTTATTTTATGTATGTATTCATGTCTGCATTATTATTGTGTTTCTTGTCAAAAACTTTCCTTTGAATGAACATTATTATTGGATTCAGGGTATATAGAAAACGGGATGGTTGCATCAATAATTTACCATCAACATCAAATTAATTTGTCAGGAGAGTCATTGTGAATTGAACAACCCATCCATTGTAATTTGTAATATTTCATGCAAGCGAGCAATATGTATGTACAGCAGAGACATACATCTGTGCATGACTAAATAATTTGCAACGTGTCAGTGGGAATTCAATGGACATGGTATGAAAAGAAGGAAAGACGATATCCCACGACTTAGACATACAACTATACAACAAACACAGCATGTTCGCTGAGTCGAGGAGTCACAAAAGCTGCTGCTTTCTCTAGCGGATTTTCCACCTTGGATCCTATTACTATTATTATCACAGGCGGATAATATGTCCTAAAGGTAGCATAAGTATGCAATGAAGTGGATCTTGGTATGCACCACTCGTGTCACAAGAAACCATGTCGTTATAAATCTTCTTGCTGAATAATGTCATAAAATATACGTACGAAACAAGACGGCTACCCTCCCAAACTTTCACCGACGTCAGAGGGTCACACCGCAAAGAAACTTTAAACCTTTGCCTATGTAAATGTCGACATGAAAAAAAGTGTCAGTTCTGCTCAGCCATTCGGTGGAAAGTTCGCTGAAATATAAAGATTTTTTTTTACAAAAGACACAGGAGCGGAAGATTTTATTCATGCTTGAGTAGTTGAGTGTCTGTAGTACTAATAGTTCTAGTGCTGTCAATTATTTTCTTCCCGCTTTCCAACCTAACCTAATCTTTTGATTCAGGCGACATATTTTGCAGACTAAAGTAATTTCTAACATTAATTTCAACTTGAATAAATCCAACCTTCCAGGGAATAACTTGACAATCTTTTTACAAAAGTCATCACGGCCTAAATAACATAGTGTAACACAATGTTAGAAATTCACCGAAGTTTGGCTATAGTTTTCACAGGAAGAGAGAACACAGCTTGTAGGAAATAAAAGGGAAGGTAAGAGCTGCTTTGTGACTTTTCTATTCAGGATTATGGGCAGAGGAGATTAACTAGGTGAAAGTTGTGATGCGATTACAGTGGAATTCGTCCAAAAGAAGAGATGTGCTATCGGGCACTGAAGAATGGAATTTAATCTCGTGCTTTCGCTATTCTATCGCCGCTGCTCTCTCCTATGACGTGCATACTTATTTATTGTGAGTCCCTTCATCACTCACCGTCCTTACTGCCTATGCATTTATTATCCTCCAGACTAGGTGTATCTGGTCAATTGAAAATTTAAATCGAGAAACGAGACTCTGAATTTACCAACGAGTTTTCCTGTGCGGAGTTTGAGTTTCAAATTAAATGATGCTGATTCTAAACTTTGTTGAAGCAGTTTGTTGCTTGGAATAAACCTGATGAGTATTTTTTATCATACTTTTGCTCGCGTGAATATCTAGTTTTCACTCAGAAAATGCCTCTTGCCTTTCCAACAGTAACACTGCCTACAATGAAGGGTGAATGAATCGTAAGCAATTTGCATTTCAAATTCACGAATTCAATTCGCCAATATTTCGAAAGAAACGGATATAACGAAAGCTTATAATTTTATCCACGCCATACAGTGATAGATTTTACAAAAGCTTTTTTTAAACCATGTGAACTGTGAAAGTTTTGGAAACTGATATGTCACCCAAACTTCTCAATGTCTCTGGGCTAAAAGATGGATTCAGCAACTTTTCAATAGAGATTTTACGGAAGCAATAATATGCTTGGTGCCAATATAATCATGCAAATGACAAGTTCAACTTTCCCAAGACGATGAGACCTAGGTTCCTGTCTTCTTATTTACATAATCAGGGCGTAGGATGGATAAATTGAACCTGTAAATTCCCCTCTCAGATTTTCCTTGCCTGAGGGATTGTCGTCATCTAGTGACTAGGAGTCAACTTTCTCCACTGCGACTTTATTTATTCGCAGTTTGCGTATCTCCTCCTTCACAAACATCTCGTATAGCTTTAACTTCTATTAAACAAACATCTTGTGTCATCTGTGACTGTAAACGGGAAGTTACAACAAAGTCACACCTACAGTTGTGTAAGACAAATAGTTGTTTGTGAACTATAAATGATGTCAACTACTTTTACATGTGTTAATATCTGCAATACTTAAGGCTAGATAATTACACCGACTAAATCAACATTTACCAGAGGATAGTCTTTCCGGTGGAGGATAGTCTTCCATGGGCACTGCATTAAAAAAGTTTACAATATTGTAGCAATATTACAAGCTCAACAACAGCTCTAAAGTAAATACAAAAGGCTTTAAATAGATTAAATAGTACTTCATCCTGATCTCTAAACTAAATGACACAATAATAAGCTATTTATTTCCACCGCGCATTCGCCGCTTTCCCAAATAAAAGCTTGATTTAGCCGCAAATAGTCTAATTGAGCAACATTCAGCAGTTCTTTCCCAGCAGTTAGAGCACATATAAGTACATGCATCAGCACTTTCACCTAACAACTCACAGGACAAGGGAAAGGAACGAGCATCAAAAAATCAGTCAGGGTGGGCGGAATCTGCCAAAGCAAATGTTTGAACAATGGAATGAATTTAGCTACATATGCGGCAGTGCTGTAGGATAAACCAGTAATGAAAGCTGACCTGACCTGAAAAACCGCTAGTTCTGACTGAAATAAAATGGCAAAAGCCTTGTTGAAAACTCAATGAGCATTATAGAGAATCATAAAATGTTATAGCTCATGTGCAGGCAATTGTGATGGTGAGAGGTGACATTAAAACGCTTTTAAACCACGATTGTACATGTCAAAATAAAACTGACATAATTAATTGTCATCGGAGAACTCAGTGTGCATAGCATTTATGTCCAATCTCTTATAATGTCATGCATGTACATATGTAATTATGCACGTGTGTACTACGTACGTCAAAAAGTACTTTCCAACATACCAAATTTTATATTTAGCTTCTTCTGCGAATTGAAAAATAATTTCAGCGATGTATATAGTTCACAAAGGTAACAAAAAATCTAACGCCAAGCATCACGTCCTAGTCTTCTAGCTCAATTATGATATGTTTCCAGAGTTAATGAACCTTCAAGCGTCTCAAAGTTATCTGTGTGTGTTTTGCAAGTTTTGTCTTAAACTTTTCTGGTATTTTTGAAGTGGTTGAACTTGCCAGGTTTCACTGATTGGAAGCTTCCTTCAAACTTCACTGCTAGCTCCAATCAAATCAAAACCTATGTGTCTGGCTTAGTGAGCACGCTTTCACCTACGAAAATCCTGTCTTCTGCACAACTAGCACGAAGCATCGAATGAAAAAAACAGGAATTTTTTCATGTTTTCACTAGTTCTACCATTTTCCTGATTTTCCTGTCTTTGTGACATACGACTTTATGCGAGAGTTGAGTAAACCACTCAATCATCATTAATTAAGACGAGAATGAAGCCACAGGAAGCAACGAATTTTCTACCCTCGTCACTCGTATGCCTTATGTATTTATGGTTCATCAGCATGATGATGGGTAATGCATACCTAATAAAGAAAAGGTGTAATTAGGTATATACATATGTACGGGCTGGACAGCCTCTGATAGCTTTTATAAATAAATATGTATAAATGGTTCTATAAATGGTTCTATGGTCTGCTAAGCTAATGATAAAAATTGGTTATTTATACTAATTGTCGAAAATCATGGGTTACAGGAAAAGCTTAAATATATGAACATGCTTTGTGCTCGGTTGACAAAACACGCAGTTTTTTTAGGGATAGGGATAATTTCAATGCCTGCAATTATAAATGCAACCATTGACTCAAATACAAGACCTTTAATGATGGATTCACGGCAAAAAAACGGGTGACTTACCTAAACGAGTGTGGAGCCATTTTGGAGGGACCTCGCACAGCGTTCCAGTCGGCTCCTCCCCCACGGCGGCTGTAGGACGACCGAATTTGGACAAGTAGTGGTGTGACTCGGACTTTGAAGAACCCAGATGACCTTCGTACTTGTCCCGAAGAACAACCACGTTCAAACTATGGTACAAAAGCCCTTTTTGTTCTTCTGTTAAATGACCTAGAAACTCAGTCACAGAGGCTCTTGTTTGTAGTCCGTCTTTTATCGGTATCGTATTAATTGGCAGGTCTAGATTAGGTCGTCCCGCACCATTTGCAGAAGTCTTTGAGTCATTAAGGAGATTATTGCTACTTTCACTTTCCTTGTCGTCCTTTCCCTTCGAATAGAAGCGTTGATCTTGTGGTGTCATGAGGAATCTCGTATTGCGTCCATTGAATCCCAAAGTGCTCGTGCTCTTCTTCTCCTGGAGTAATTGCAAGTGGATCGACGTGGTTCGAGAGTAGATTGACATGAAAAGGGATGATGTGTGCAACTGTCTGGACAATGGCGGCTTTTGTGAAGTGTAAGACTGTACCACGGAGCCAGAGATGAATCCCATATTATTTATAGCATTATTTCGAAATAAGTGCCCTGCTGGCAATTGATCCAGTTGAAATCGCATCCAGCTTCCGTTCGATCTGTGCCCTATTTCATCACATCCCATCTGCGAGGGTGATGAAAAAGAAAAAGAGGGCGAACAAAATGAAGTGGAATTCGGCGACTGGTTGGCATTGTTAACACTCAAGTTTCTGATGAAAGTCCCGAGAGCGACACTTGCTGCTACGACCGTCCTCTGTTCAGCCCTAATATTTTTCACGAAACGATGCAATTTATGAGAGAGCATATTTCCCCTTTGATGTGGTCGTCTGACGCTTGAGGCTACACGCGTTATTAATTAATGTTACTAGAACCTTGTTGGTAATACAAGTAAGTAAAGGTCTAAAATGATGATGATGATGGCGTTAGAAATACAATTTCTTCTGCGTGATTAGTAGATTACGTATAAATTTCCAAGCCCATGAACCCCAGCATTTTTGTTCTTCCGTGTGTGGTCCTTTGAGTTGTCCGTTTCGTGCAGCAAAAATTGTTCGTGACTCACTCACTTGTAATTTAATTAAATCATGTTGTTGAAATGTGGAGATATATGAGGCGGAGATAAAGGAAAACGAGTAAAGTGTATCGTTATCGTTCATACAGCATCCTCATCATGAGGGATACATAAATGTGTGGAAGGCACTTTCGAAGAACTCCTCTCCTGAAATTTACAATTTAAATTCGACTTTATATCGTTCACGTTCATGAGGAGGGTTTCTATTGACATGTTTTCTCCCTTGGTGGGTTGTAGGAATGTATTTACTTAATTTCACGGTTGAATAACAACAACAACCCATATTTTCTCCAATCTATTCAAACTCGAGTGCATTGCATATCACATCTGCGAATCCTATCTGGCATCCGGGCCAGATGGGAATATAGCGAGTGAAATTTGTAAACTTGAGACTGTGTCACCGCCTGCAAACCCAGTCAGTTCAGTTACGGACACGGGCGCAATTTCCTGCACCATGTCAAAGTTCCATTGCATGTCAACGTAATTCAATACATACCTATTCACCAAGAATTTGCATATTATTTATTCTTCTGAACCCCTAGAATTCCACTTTCTCTGTCGTCTCTCCCAGTTGTAATTTAACTATGCTCATGATAATTAATTAATTCAATGGAGGATTCAATAATTAATTAAATCTTCTCCCCAGTCAGTTAACCAGGAAAGTCGTATCGGATTGCCTACACACTTATTGTGCCTTTAGCCAATTTCGTCATGTGACAAAACCGCAAAAATGAGGTCAGAGTCAGGTAGTGAAGTGATGGATGAGAATTTCATCAAGTCATTTGTCCCCAGCAGTTGTTGAAGAAACGTATTACTTTGGCACACACAAATAGCGGATGATATGCCGCCGGAAGGTATGATGATAAACTCGGCGAGCCGTACGTGCATCTTCTCATTTCGCAGTGTTTCTCTATTTTCACAATCCAACCAACCACCATCGTCAGCCACAGTTGGTTTTGGTTGGCTTTCTCCTCATACTCGAGTCTTCAGGTATTGCTTATTGCCTGGCATTACCTTCTTCCTTCTCATCATCCTGCTAGAAATTCCTTCCTCTCCTTTCAATTTCATCTCATGCGGAAAGAAAAATGGGTGGAGTAACCTCTATTGCATTGCACTTTCCTTCTTGATAAACTGTATTGGACAGATAGTCAAGTCTTCTGAGGAACGTAATTCGAGCAAGAAAACCCAGTGTTCAACCACAGCTCTCACCTCAAGCCAACATCCATGCTCCTGTCAAACCACGTCTCAAAGCCGTCTTTTGCAACATTAAAACTATCTGCAACAAGCATTCGGAGCTTCTGGCTTATCTAGCCACACAATAAACCATCATTCTTGTGACGTACTTTTCAACCAGTCCTACATAAAGGGGGGAGCATGCTAATACGTAGACGAGGTGATCTAGGAGCTACATAGAGGAATAGAGGAAGATCAGTACATTCCATTTATTTGGCATAGAAAGAAAGACTAGTGAAAGCTTGGGAACCTGTGTTGTCAGTCAAAATGAGTCGATATTTCAATCCCAAGCGGAGCAGGAGGAGGAGTAGGACAAGGAAAAAAGTCTCGAGTTTTTTATAACTTCACCTTAACGAAGGCACTCGTTGAAAATGTTTTCGCCTCCAGCGACACTATAACTCCGACCAATTTATGTTATGATGTGGAAAATAAATAAGAACGAAGGAAAAATAATAGGCCCGTGTTTATGTTTGTGAACCAAAGTTGAAGTAGTGAGGTAGGAATTTTATGTAGGAGGCAGTGGCAGAGGTGGAGAAGGAAAGTATTAGCGTCTAAGAGAATTATAGTGCCAGCCAGCAGCAGCAGAGAAGCCCATCGCCTCACCTTTCTCCTCTCCACTTTCTCTCTCTCCGTTCTCACTCACTTTCCCCCATCCTCCGACCGAATTAGCCTTTTATGGAGAAAAGATGACCCACTTCACTTCCAATTACAGTAATGTCCGCTACCAGACACTACCTCAGCCAACTACAACCTTCCTTGTGTCCTTTGAAATAAGAAGAACAAAGGAGGCAGGCACAACAAATGATATGATGTACTACACATGTACACAAGTTTTCGAATTGGTACATCATACGAAGTCTGCCAAATAATAAATCTAGCTCTGCAACTCTCAAGGGATCCAGATTTATTGTAAAGTCAATCTCACAGATTGTCTATCTGCCATCACGATACTAAAGCAAGTGTAAGATTTTTGGACCTGGAGTCTTCAAGATCTAAACTGTAAAGTTCAAAAATCGATATGTAGCGTAATGCATACGCCAGTGGCAGTAAGGCTGTATGGAAGTAACTCATCTTTTATACTGCTACGTTCTCAAGTTTTACTCTGAAAGTTCTCATGTTTCAGGTGTGTACATAAGGCTACAGCATGTTTAGCTCGCAATGGTTGGAGAAAGGTGATGCTCTAATAACCGTCATACGGCAGGACTCATTTCATCCTGTTCTCGCAACGAGGACGTCGACAAATCAAAGTGACCGGATTAGGACTAGCAGTCGTCGTGGTGGTGGATTCGATTTGCAGGACCGCTGTTTTTGCATCATGTAGTTTTGCTAGTGCCACTAGCAAAACTTTCGTTTACATTCTCTTTCTCTTGATCATGTACAAAATACAAATGAAACTTTCACCTCTAATGACATTTGTCGGTGAACTCTCATCTGCATCTGCGGGTGACACATGGCAGTCACCATCATGTCCAAAGATTCGAGATACTATATATCTTTGTAAGATCAAAATGGTCTATCCTCAAAACCTAACTGGTACAGTGTATCATGCAATTTGTGGAAGCGTTGTATATACTGCAGAACGTTACCGGGCACCTCAATTTCTGTAATTTTAGCGTGGAATTAGTAATTATGAAATGTTGATTGCCTTTCATGGCACTTTCCTTACTTCATGCCAGTATTTATTATAACATGGGCAAATACACCACATGGAGGTATTTTAAGATAGCAAGCAATCTCATTTATGAATATCTTAACACCGATAAATATGCACCGTATGCTGTTGGAAGAAGGAATACATGACAGTTCGTCGTCGTTGTCGTCGAATGATCAGCATACAATATTAATATTAACCACTTCACCTCTTTCAAGTACCTTTTATAATTCCAATTAGCTATAGCTTATATACATAATTATCGTCATTATTATGCTTTTGAATTTCTAGTGCAATCCTAACTAACAATGCGATGGTGTGAAGTGTAACCCTCCGATTTGGCTGAAATTTTAAAATTAGGTGGTCCAAGCCAATACAACTAATGTTTCTTCAGGCAGTTTGTGCGATTGTGAGAGTTACTCAAAATATTTGAGGTCAAAGTTCAAAAAACGGCGACTTTTTTCAGGCGGAGACTTCCATTCTCTTCCCCTCGCTTTGATTTTATTCAGGCGTCTCGCTCACGCATACGCCTTCATGCACAAGCACAAGCTTTGATGCAAAATAATAAAAAATAAACATTATTAATTACATCTTAAAAAGCAATTAATACGCATTATACATAATTTAATTCATAATTAAATAAGTGAGATTTTTACTTATTTCTAGTACAAATTTACATAAAAGTTAATTTATAAATTCCAAATAAACATGGAAAAACTTAACTTGCTTTCCATTTCGAAAGCGTTGGTTATTCTAATATCCAATTATATATTAATATTTTAAATGCTCCTGTGTTTGTTCCAATGATTCGATATTGTTGGTACTCGAGCGGATTATGGGGTGATGACGAAAAGCCCGAGTTTAAAAATGTAAGCGAAGTTTGTTTTAGAGAAAAAAATATTAGTTGCGAACTGAATTGTGGCAATCCCACATTCATCAAATTCAGCTGGTGCAGTTTATCGTATTGTTTTGTGGACTTTTATGAAAATAATCATATGGTCACATGTGGAATGAATAATTAATATTTTTCTATACAAAATTAAACTTAAAATTGTTGAAATGAATTATTTTTCGGAGTGAAAATCAAAGCGAGGGAAAGAGAATGGAAGTGGAGTTTTCTCGCTCCGCCTGAAAAAAGTCGGCCGTTTTTTGAACTTTGACCTCAAATATTTTGAGTAACTCTCACCATCGCACAAACTGCCTGAAGAAACGTTTGTTGTATTGTCTTGGACCACCTAATTTTAAAATTTCAGCCAAATCGGAGGGTTACACTTCACACCATCGCATTGTAAGTTAAAGGACAAAGAAATATAAACCAACTAAATAGCTAATGCAATTAATTTTAAAAGTTTATATATGCAAATTCATTAGTTATATCAGGCACAAATATGTCAACTCGACCTGGCCGATTTGCATAATATTAAAACATTGTATGCCAATTAATCTAAACTTTATTACTAAACCCCACATTAATAATTCCTCTGAATTAGCGAAACCCAAAGAAAACTAAAACAACGTTGATCTTACCTTTGTGGTGAGAAGTCAAATTCGGAACCAGGAAATTTCAGAATAATAGTAAAATTTCGGCCGGTGCTGCAAATGAGAATTTATGGAATTCCAATAATGTTAAAAAAGAAAGGAAGTTGGAGTGGTGGTCAGTGGTTGAAATTTAGTGGAGCCATGTGTTGTGAGTGGAGAAGGAAGTGTCAAAATGTGCTTCTGCTGATAGACAATGCAATTCAATGTTTTGTTGTGGGCTGGATTGCAATGTGAGCTAAATGAATGCACCGCGAAAGGTTCTCACGCCTCTACGCTCGGCCGTCGACTGGGGGATTTCGGCCACTTTCTCTCCTTCTCTCTCCCACCACCAGCCAGGAGAAAGCACTCTCACCATCCATCCAGAATGCTCACACCGTCTCCAACTATAACTCCCCTCGCGTTAAATTACCCCTCGCAAATTTCCTCGGAGAACGACTACCTTAATTTAACATGAAATTTCATATGGAAAATCGCATGAATTTACATGCACTGTATCCCTAATCCCTACTGTGTATATTATGCAAATTAACAATGCAAAAAAATTCTTATATGTACTTCTTGAAAAATATATGCGGCCGTAAAGAAAATTGAAAAATGTTCACATTGAATCAACTGCAAAAACAACAAGATTAACAAAAAAAATCAAAATTTGAACAGTATTTTTATTACACTCATGGCACGAAACTATATGCTAAAAATTACTATTTTTTAGGGAATAATTGATAATAATTATTCATGATAATTTTTAGTGCCTTGCATCATCAATCGAGTCTAATTGTAAGACCCGAGCGTTACTAAGGTATATTTCCTCCCTTGTCTGTCTGTAATTCCGCAAAAATGTGTGCAGAATATTTATTGGCAAATCCTTGACTCGGGGTTTTTTGTATGTTACAATAATTATGAAGCATACCGCAATTAAATTCCTAAATTCCAGTGTCTCAAATGTTACGATCCCTCATATCAACGTAATGTCGTATCTGCGGTGCGACCAAATTTAATAAATATCTCAGATAAGGCCTGAGGTAGACTTCGAGGTAACAACAATCTGTATATCTTTTCGCAAGTCATCAGGATTTAATTGTAAGTATGCTTTCAGTTAAGTTTGCGACGTATTGGAAATTTAACTATGACACTTGAAGAGAAAGTGGACAAACTTGAGAGCACTTCCAATCAAACAATTGCGGTTGTGACTTCGGCGTCTGGGTCGCCCAAATTGGTATGAATGGAAGCTCATTCACAACAATTAACAAATCCATGATGGTTGAATACTATTGATGCGTATCTAACTATTATCCTCCAGGGGGTGGAGGACATGGCAGATGTCATATCGGAAGTAGAAAGCGTTCGAGTGATCAACGCGTCGAAATGCGCCACTTGGTCAGATAACCCAGAAAAGTCGGACTGGGTGGTGAGGTTGCTGCTGAGCAGTGAACGACCTCAAGATCTTTCTAGTCGAATTGGATTTGTGGTTGTGAGCAATCTGGACAGCAAGCAGCCTTCCGAAGAGAATAATAAAACCAACAAGATGCATTCTCGCCACGACACGATTGACCTTCCGGCATTTTGCGAACTCCTCGACAGAGGCAGCTATTTTACAAAGCTGGAGTTGGATGGAGGTTTTTTCAACAATTCGTACCTATTTCCACACGACCTGAGTCCAGACGACGCTGACAAAATTAATCTCATCACACTCCCCAACCTGAAAACTTTAAGTATCAAAGCCAAGTTAGCCCTCACCCTGAAAGGGTTGGACGCGGATACCCAACACCAATATTACTGCCTGCATCGCGAACATTGCAACTCATTCAAAACTAGGACAGCTAAAAACCTGTGGTACGTCTTCAAAGCGTTTGAATGTCCAAAGTTGAGCACACTCGAAGTCATGGATTGCATGGAATGGGATGACCCTGAGCTAAAAAATAGCGATTTCTTCTACTGGGATCAACCCCTCGTCTCATTTCTTCAAAGACATGCGGCCACACTTCGAAGCTTCAAAACATCGCCAATCGTGGTGATGCAGTTGAACAAGAGTAGTGGTCATGTCGACTTTGCTGAAGTTGCTCCATCCATTGAGGATGTTCTTTTCTGGATGAAACTGCATTTGGATGACCTCTCCTCGTCAACGTCAGGAGCTGAGCAAAGGGAATTAAAGTTACATATTGAAATTGAAAAGCTGCTTCGACCATGGCGGCAGTTCTTGCAGGCTCAAAAGAGCTTGAAAACACTGATTTGGATAACGGACGCTCAGAACCCATGGACCTTCACGAGACGGGACTTTGGTAAACTATGTTTATGGAACTTGGGGATGGAGTCCATCATGTTGGCTTTGCATGGAGACCAACAATTCAGAGATTTCCATAACCTTCCTCAGCAGCAGCATCCTGTGAACAATGTAAAGGATTACGAAATTGATGCGACCTTAATGCATGGAATGACTTCGCTTCGAATTCTGTCACTTGGCTGCTACGGGAAAGATCCGCAGATGAAAAACTTTTGCTTCAGTAACCTCCATCTTCTTCCTCCAACTTTGGATACCGTACAATTGTTCGGGATTCGAGTGATGAGCACAGATTTAGAAAGCCTTGCAAAACTGCCCCTTCTGCGAAGTCTAACTCTTGTGCAGGGAGGGAAAACCACTTACACCGAGCAAGATGAACTAAACGGGAACATTGAGGGGGTGACAGGAAATGTTCTCAAAACATTGATAACATCTGCTAGGACGTTGGACAAGTTGGTTATCGTCGGATTCCCCATCAGCAGCACCAAGTGTGGCGACTTGTCGACTGTGAAAACCACAAGAAAGGTTGCAAATCAAAATCATGGTTGGTTTGGGTACGTTGATTAATGATAAGTCTGACTAATCTTGAACTGATGCTGAAATTCTTACAAGAATTGTTGAAATACATGAAACTATTGGTTGAATAGTGACATTTGTGGCGCAATGTGCATGCCGAACCTTGTCGACGGAGAAACAGGCAACTCCAACCACAAATCACAAGAACTTCTAAGTTTGCATCAGTACTCTGACCAGCTCCAAGAAATCATAAGAACATTTGCATCCGTGGGCACTGTGTGCGACATTTCTCAAGATGACGATGACCAACTCATGACCATGTTAACCATGGGCTGAAATTCTCAAATCAGTAAATCACATTTATTTTGTCTCTAATAAATTGTAAATAAATCATGAATGCAGACATCATTACATAACCTGAACAAAACCGAGTTGTAAATATTTAATATCTATTTATTTCATAAAGCCAATTGTAATCAATAATGCAAGACGGAGAATAAGTCTAATAAATTAGTACACTAAACAAATGCATCAGACTTGAAGACAATTGGGGAAAAACCTGCTCAAAAACAAGCAATTCTGAAATTGTCATGTACTTCTCTAATATTGGACAATGTTCAAAATATCCTAGTTATTTAGCAACAATCCCATTTAAATCTTATTCGATTGGAATGGATAGACTACTAAAGGGAGGGCAGCCTGGTGGATACGAATTTGGCCTTGAATAACCCCGGAACGGTTTGTCGTAGCGGGTCAAAATTTTGAACAGAAGAGCATGTTATCCTCAGATAGTTGTGTGCAAAAATTCAACTCTCTACTTTCAAAAATGCCTCCCCCACAGCCCCCAGAAGTTGAGACACTCGTTTCAATCATAAGACCAGAAGTTTGTAGTCGTACAAATGTTTTGTTTCATTCAGGTGAGTTTCATTGACTCGAGCTCGACCAGCAAGTTGTACGTTTCTGAAATCATGATGTGATATGACTCGGCATTTTATGTGTACATGCTGCATGGATGGATGTGTCATAGATAATTGATTACAGAATTAGTAGCATGTATATATTTAGGTCTATGACTGGAGTTGCATCATAGGATGCATACGTATGCGGTATGCGTTAGGTTCTCACGGGGCTTTGAAGTTTTGGGCAAAATCTTCTGGGCAAAGTCGGAATTGATACCAAAGGGAGGGCGGCCTGGTGGATACGAATTTGACCTTGAATAACCCCGGAACGGTTTGTCGTAGCGGGTCAAAATTTTGAACAGAAGAGCATGTTATCCTCAGATAGTTGTGTGCAAAAATTCAACTCTCTACTTTCAAAAATGCCTCCCCCACAGCCCCCAGAAGTTGAGACACTCGTTTCAACTTTTTCCAAACTCCGTCTAAAAAATTCGGTCCCCACAGAAAGATTTTCTTTTCATCTATTCGAACTCAAACAAGTCGATTTGACTTATATCAGGGGATTGTATAGGTATTTCACTATTCCAAATGATTTTTATCCCCAATCTAGGTTCAAGGTCATTTGCATAATCTTGGGTCAACTTTGCCGTCTGGGAGGACGCTCCGTCATGATGAAAAATCACCTTAATTATTATTTTACCGTGCAAATTAGGAAAATTGTATTCTAAAAGTGGTTTCAGTACAAGGTCCACATAATACTTCGAAGATCCCTTCACTTTTTGGGGGACTTTGATAAGTGGGAGGACACCACGACAGGACATTGCACCCACGACCATCAACTGTTTAAAAAAGTTCTCCTCACTGAAAAGCACCAAATTTCTTGAATTTTTTTTCGGCATTTGTCGTGTAGTAAGCTCTACGAACCCAATTAGTAACTTGTAGGGAAAATAGTTCTTCGTCAATTGTCACCAATAGCTCACTTCTATTCCTCAACAGAATATTCAAATAAAATTTTTTGCAAACACGGGCGAGATTTTTTCTGGAACTATTTGAAATGACTGTCTCAGCTTCTGGGGGCTGTGGGGCAGGCATTTTTCAAAGTAGAAGGCTGAAATTTTGCACACAACTATCTGAGGATAACATGCTCTTCTGTTCAAAATTTTGACCCGCTACGACAAACCGTTCCGGGGTTATTCAAGGTCAAATTCGTATCCACCAGGCCGCCCTCCCTTTGGTATCAATTCCGACTTTGCCCAGAAGATTTTGCCCAAAACTTCAAAGCCCCGTGAGAACCTAACGCATACCGCATACGTATGCATCCTATGATGCAACTCCAGTCATAGACCTAAATATATACATGCTACTAATTCTGTAATCAATTATCTATGACACATCCATCCATGCAGCATGTACACATAAAATGCCGAGTCATATCACATCATGATTTCAGAAACGTACAACTTGCTGGTCGAGCTCGAGTCAATGAAACTCACCTGAATGAAACAAAACATTTGTACGACTACAAACTTCTGGTCTTATGATTCAGTTGTCAGTATTACAGAAAGCTGAGGATGAGTTGTAACCACTAAATATCACGTGCTGCTAGCTGCTGATTTTTTAACACGAGGCACACCGGTGAGTTCATGCACAAGTCGTAAGTATATGCAGAATTGCAAAGAATAAAGATGATGTTTGATCTCTGGACGCTTATCAGACCACTCGTTCATCGGCCTGTCCGAACTTAGAATCTTGCCCATGCTTACAACAACATTCTTGATTATTGCAAGGTCTAAATTCCTATCTTATGCAAAATCCCCTCATCAATATACATCAGTTTAGGTTGACTTTGCTCATCTTACGATATGGGTGTAAATTGGTAGCTTGGTTGGTGCACAAGCACTGCACTCGGCTGCTTTATTATTATTATCATTGATCTGACCAAAGTCTAAATTTGCTAATCAGTCAGCACGAGTAAAGCCAACGCTACAGTACAACAATAACTTCTTTTAATGTGACGTCCAATCTCAAGATCACGATGTATCCTCATGTCATAGGAGTGTACATAATATGTATTTATGTATGTATATATGGTGCCACAATTACTACATATGTGTGTACACAAGGAATTCTATTCTCACTCCGTTTTTTTTTCTTTTTGACGATGAGCTTAAAAATATTGGCGAATTCCTCTACGCACTGAGCTCTATTTCTCAATCATTTCATGAACTTATTATTTCTCAATAAACGCTTATGTACATGTGTATTATTAGAGAAATTCGTGGCTATGCAGATATTCAGTAATCTGTGATAATCTAATTGCGATTGATAGTGCAGTTGGAACATTGCAGATATGTATACAAATTGATAATTGGCCCGTCCTCGTCATTGAATAACGATTCACGAGAGATTACATAAATACACAGCAGAGGATGAGCCCAGAATCGTATGAGTTTGGAATAATATGACATCGTGTATGGTATACGCCGGGTATAAATTACGTATGTATGCAACACTATGTTTATTTATTACAACACCGAAAATATTCTGCAGCAGCATTACAAATTATTGTATAAAAATATTGAGACTTATAAGTTAAGGAAATAGAGTTTTTATAATTATGATATGATTTAGACATAATTCGTACATATTTCAGCCAGACCATTTTAAGGAGCACCTGTGTAAACCAAAAACGTAGCACTTCCTTCTTCAATTCCTTCCTTCCAGTAATTTCTATCTGCCACTCCCATAAGTCGTGTCGTATGTGAAGGTTCAAGAGTTCCAAAATTTACCTTTTTGTCAAACGTTGAGATTTGTGTCCAAAAACGACTCAATGAATCAACAATCTGGCACTGTCCTAAATTCCAAAGCTGCTGGAATTTCCTCTCGGAATGAATGTGCGAAGAATGATGATGAAATGATTGGTAAACAGTAAAATAAGGAATCCACAACCGTCCGGAATGATCCTCTTCACATTCCAAAGCCCTTCAAAGGTTTTCCCTTTGGGGTCCAAAGGTTCCAGCGGATTACCTTTTGGGATTTATTTGTGTCCGCATATCAGGCGGTGCGCGGTGCGCACAACACTTTTAGATTTCCAAGAAAATAACGTTGCATATTATTATGAATCAGAAATATCCATTATGTTGAGTTACATACGCTTTCAAGAGCCGTATACAACAAACAAACATCTTATGTTATGGAATTTCATATGATTATTTGAGTATTACGATTGTTACAGGATTGTACATATTACACGATTTTAAGCTTATTTCGGATCGAATGACATCAAACGTTTTATTTCTTCGAGTTAAATACGTGTCTTAAATTAAATTGTAATACCATCAATAAAATGGGAAAGAGTCTTTTAAATTAAGATTAGATTGTCGACAGGCCTTTACATTTATCCTCCTGCAAAGAGTTGGTCTCAAAGTTTGGGACTTCCTTTCGTTCCGTGCTTTGCATCACGTATGTACGTCCACGATTACTTTCACTCGTCTTCTTTTCATGGTATTTAAAAGAGCAAAGAGCTCTGTTGTACCGCATCTTTTTTATTCGGATGAGTTTACTCACAGTCCATGCTCACAGTACACAGTCCTCCATGTATGCACATCTACAGTATAATCAATGCTGTTTTACCATTTTCAAATAATGAACTTGACAAGATACGTCTTTTTACGACATTTTTTTATTACAGCATGTGCATTTAAATCATAAATTGCACCAATGTCAGTGCATAATTTAATTAAGGTAATGTCCAAAGGTACGAATTTGGAAGTGCATCCAGTACATGTCGACAAATCAAACGAACGGAAGTTGGGACGTTTTGCTTGCCAAATTTTCCCCCATTTGAGTGTTGCATTTGTTGAATGAATGTGCCTTTCAAGGAAATGCATCTCCACAATCATTCGCTATGCTATTCAACTATGCGTCAACCAGCAACAACGGTGCTACAAAAGGGTAAAAAACAAAGTACAAGAGCTTTTATGGGAACATTCATTACGTGAAATCGACCTCGTCTCATGAACAACATTGGAGGATAGCAACGTATACTGGGCGATGTTATTCAGCTTGCGATGATTTGAGTCACCCCACAAACACTATGCGTCGTTTGTGTATAAGCGTACGACAAATTACAACCAGGAGGTTTCTAGAACTTACGTTTTTCGCGGAACGTATGCGCTTGTAATTAACTGACCATTTACAAGATTAGACCATCGTTTGCAAATTTATGCATATTGTTCGAGCTAATCTTAATAATCAACATGGAATGTATCAGTTGTGAAAAGTTGAGCAAAACTAGGATTCTATTCCAATTTCCATATGACTTAATGCAAGTATGGAAAGAGGTATTTTGAGACTTTTACAAGTTTACTTCCGGCATTTTCTATGTAAGCTCGGTTTTGTAAACGTTGGCACGCGTTGACGGGGCTTGTTTTTAGAATTTACGGTATTTCGTCATCACTTAGCCATCATCATCAAAACCCCAAAACAACATACGATCTAGTAGCATGATGAGCATACGAGTTTTCAGCATTTTCATTGAACGAGTGAGGTCTGTGCATTAAGCGAAATCCACTTCTCGCAAGAAACGCATGCAAAATTGGCCATCGATGTGCACAGCCCATCGTACGACGTACTACGTGATGACTAGAGCAAAGCCAACGATTGGGTCGAACCGAGGAGAGACCTTCAAATACGATACGCACACACTTTTGCATTCACTGCTGCACTTGCCTTGGTGTCACACGTTTTGTCTCGTGCAATCCGGCTGGACCGTGTCGTTGTATATCAAGCTGCTAAAGCTACACGCACTTCCAGACTGTTTACAGTTTCCTATCAAACCAAAAGAATAAAAGGGTTCATAGTGCCCAGTCATCCCGTCATTCTTCAAAAATCGTGGAAGGAATAAGTGCAAGTACGAGTGAGTTTTTTTACAATTGGAGTTTATCGAAGCGATACCCGACCCCATAAAGTTGAAAAACTGGTGAGCAAGATTATAAGTCAAAAATAAATAACAACAAGCAAAAGATTCTCAAGTGCTCGACGTTTTGCATCAATTTTGATGTTTTAATAGTGATTTAGTAAATTATTGAAATTTACAAGTGCGAAATGTATTCGGATTGGTAGAATCGTGCTGAGTGGAGAGGAGGAAAGTTGAGACGGTGATATTCTGCCTGTTGAGAAAAGTGAGACACTTTGAGCCGTGAGCGTGAGAGACAGTGAGTGAGGGATCTCCGAGGATTGTACTACAATTCCAGTAAATCAATAGGTGAGAGTCTCACCGTGAGACAGTTATTAGTGAAACTTGAGACAAATCCGCTGCGAATCTTGCTTATTGATGCGCTTGATAAGAAATGCAATTTTGATATGAGACTAATAATAACTCATTGGTCAGATTTCTGAATTTCGTTCACCATGAAGCCATTGGGATCACCATGTCTTCACAAGTCCAATTTGAAGGCGCTGATCAGACCTCCTGCGACCAGGGAGTTGCAATCGTCTCGTGTCCACGACCTAACCGCTTCAGTATCCGCAACGGTGGCGCCGATGCCACCACGCGTTGCACCCCAACATCCTGTGAGTGGGGGTGGCACGCTGTCGGACCAATCCGTAGAGCAGAAACGACTCCTGATACGGAAACAATTAGTCATTCTGCTCCACGCGATTGTGTGTCGACGTCGAGATCTCCTTAACACGACTCGTGATACATCCTCGTCTCAGGTAATAATTAAAACATGGGTCACATGATATTGCATTACCAATCACCACCGGAGTGTATAATACCCAAGCGACAATTATTCTAATGAGATGATTTATTTGTTATTGTTCAGCCGTGCAACGTCCCTTTCTGCGGACTCATGAAGACTGTTCAACTGCATTTAAACTCCTGTAAAGCTGGAAGAACTTGCCCACAAACCCACTGCGCCTCGTCAAGACAGATTTTAATTCACTGGAAATACTGTGTGAAAGCAGAGTGTCCAGTTTGTGTGTCTCTGCGAAAAGTCGTTCCAACCAGTTTGTTACAAATATTCCCAAATCCCCTCTGCCGAGCTGAAATCATGCAAAGAATCGCGAGGCAGCAGCAAAATGCAAGTCATTCTGAAGAAGACGATGCTGTTCCGGAACTTATGGAGAGTGAAGAATGATCGTCACACCAAAATTCGTTTTTTTTGTCGCAAACGTTTGTCACTACTAGTTTGAAAAGTTTTCTTATAAAAAGTGCTTTAAAATTGACTTGTCCAAGTAACAAATTCGATATATTGCATTCAATTGTTGATAAAATTTGTGAGTATTAGTTTACGTAATTTTTGAAATCGTCAAATATTTAGATGATTGCATTTTTTATAAACAAGCCAAATTGTGCGTTTCCTATCAAACGTTGTCTACGTCGGAAACGAGATCAACTCGCAGTCGTTGGTGGATTGAGAAAGCATACAAACAGAATGATAATGACGTTAATCATGAAACTAGTGTTTGTCCAAAAATCGCTTTTAATGCAATTTTAAACGCAGTCAGTGATTTATGGACAGTTAATTCATCAACAATTTGGGAATGTAGAAGAGAAATATACACTTTATTGGAGAGAGAAAGCAATGATCTGATTTATTATATTTTAATTACATATTTATGCCTATAACCCATGATTCAAATGTTTCGTTGTTAACATTATATGAGATAAATAAAATATTAGTTTCGCACACATTAAGATAACTGATTGTCTTATGCATTACAAAGAAACGTTTACCAGCGTTGTTGCGTCATACTTTTCATACGACTTTTCATCTGACGCAAACATCAGCATATAAACGGTGAGCCGCATGCTGAAATTGTACTGTTTCATGCGACGTATACAAAGAAAGCTGAAAAAGAAAAAACATGTATTCGGTGAAAGCTTTGAGATACGTTATGACTTAAAATGTATCATTTTCCCCTCGTACGTTTAACATCTAATTAACTATGAGCAAACTTTAATATGGAAAACGTTTCTGTCTCCCCAACGCGTAATTTTAATTTAGGTTGGATTCCAACCTAAATGCTTTGAGAGCCTCACTTTTACAGACGCCTGCATATATTGACCCATTGAATTATTGCCTAATCTCGTGGGTACATAACTAAATCCTGCTTCGTTTTCCAATCTAACACGAGGTAAAACTTCATGAATTTCATCAACCAGCAACGATTTTAAGATTTATGTTTATGCCTATGCATAGCAAGTTTCCCATTCATGGCACCTATGCAAAATTCCAAAGTCGCCAATACCAATACAATCCCACATTGCCGAGAACGTTTACTGTTAATGCAAATAATTGAATAGTTTGGTTTTATAATAATCAATCAACGTAGATCAGTGCTCTAACATTAACATTTTATTTCGTTTCGTTTCAGCGATTAACTCATTTATTAAATATAAAACTGTCAGTTAAACTTGTACTGTGGTATTTGTATAATAACCTAAGTATGATGGACGTCATAAGCTTGCCACATAAAACCTGATACGTTTTCAATTATTAATTAATTTTGGATTAATTTTGATTGACCTTTCAATACGAATGTTGAAATCTTGTTATATAAAAAGCACTACTTATCCTCTCATGACTCTCAAGTTGCTTCCTATAAAACCTAGAAAGCAAGTTGAATAGAGTTTCTAGGTAAATAATTTATCTGTGATCGCCTTTTGTACCACAGTTAACACGACATGATTTCTCTTCATCTCACTGCTTATATGCCTACTTCTTAATGAACGGATTCAAGAAACCATGTAGTGATCCTTTATGTTTGACATATTCATACCGGAAATTACATTTGCATAACCCTTTAAACTGTAACGACGACAATAGTCGTTTTATAAGAAATGGTTTAATTCGGGAGTACGACAAAAGTCGTCCTAAAAAATCGTGGTCATGGCGCGGAAGGACGACAATTGTCGTTTCTAGGAGGTCATTGATTTTCACCATTTTCTCTCCGCGACCTAAAATTTGTTGCAATTTTGAGGTATTTCTCCTATGCCAACACAAGGCTAAATTTGAAGATTTTCTTCCCAAAAATTTGGATATTTCCCTATACAACTCAATGTTAAATTTTTGATTTTTCAGTTTTTCTAGTTTTATTAAAAACTCCTAATTTCTCCTCCCGCGCCATGACCACAACATAATTATAGTGTCCCCGATTTAATGCATTTTCTTGTCATCAATCATACACGTTAAAGGGTTAAATACTGGAGAAAGCAAAGCATGCGTTCATCTGGAGAAAGTTATAGAGGAGCAGAGGTATATACCTCTGCTCGTGGTAGCATTGAGTGGAAAATGTGTTTTGGTGGAGCCGCGAGCTGTTGACGTTCAATATTTCTCTCGGTTTGCAGATCTTTTCGACGACTCACTTCATTTAAGGAACAGTTTGGTAATTGCCTTCTGATTTAAATTAATAATATAACGACACTGATTTCATTTAGTGGTTTCAGATACACAACAGAGTAAAGCAAACGTTGCGACATGGCGAGTGGAGGCAATGGGACGGGTACGGCCGGTGGAGATTCTCAAGCCACGATAGCACAACGGACTTGGGAGCTGTCGAATAATATCGAAACAATTTCAGCAGTCGACGAAATTTATCACTATGACCGGCAGCAACAGCAGGACATTCTCACCACCAAGCCATGGGAAAGAGAGTATAACATTCCACACTTAATTACGCATTATTATAAGCAATAGTTGTCTTCAGAATCAAAAAGTCTGATCATCAAATTTATCCAAACTGTTGTTTGTAGTCCGCATTTCTTCAAAGACATCAAAATATCAGCTCTGGCATTGTTGAAAATGGTAATGCATTCTCGGTCTGGAGGAACCTTGGAAGTTATGGGACTACTTCTTGGAAAAGTAAAACATACATTTAAAATAGTGATTTCAACAATTGGAAAATATAACGACTAATGATTACTAACGTAGGTTGATGGTAACTCGATGATTGTGATGGACTCATTTGCTCTTCCAGTAGAAGGGACTGAAACTCGGGTGAACGCCCAAGCTCAAGCATACGAGTACATGACGGCTTATATTGAAGGTACCGTGTAGATAACTTTAAATTTATTATAAGTACTCGCACAATAACTGTCATTAATATATAAAACATTAGAAAAATGTATTCTTAAAAGTGGTGCATTTAATTGACTTCATAACCGCTAAGAAATTTTAACATATTTCTTCTGTCTGCGCGATCCCCCAAAGCCAGTAATGTTTAAATCCTCATATTTATAATAGTCTTCTACCGTTTTATGATTGTACTAGTTATTGATTTTTAAGAATAGAATAGGAAATGGAGCTTCCTTCCAAAGTTGAGAGTTTATTTGCGCGTCTTGAGTGCACAATAATAAATTAATAACTAATTATAATGTCTTTATTTTTGCAGCTGCCAAGCAGGTAAGTGACACAAAATATATGCATTATATTTATATGATTCAGTGTACTAAAAAAATAATATTGACTTTATTCAACGAAAGGTTGGCCGAATGGAGAATGCAATAGGATGGTATCATTCACATCCGGGTTATGGATGTTGGCTATCTGGAATTGATGTTTCCACTCAGTTGTTGAATCAAAGCTACCAGGAACCATTTGTCGCCATTGTGGTGGATCCTACAAGAACTATTTCTGCAGGGAAGGTGTGTCTTGGAGCATTTAGGACATATCCTAAGGTAATTCTTTAATCATACTCTAATTCAATAATTCATAATGAATTGAATCAAACGACCAAAACAACGAAATAAGATTCGACCACAATTGCAACATTCGTTTGGTGACAATTTTTCAGGGCTACAAACCTCCAAGTGAGGAAGTGTCGGAGTATCAGACCATTCCATTGAATAAAATTGAAGACTTTGGGGTCCACTGCAAGCAATACTATTCACTGGATGTAACATATTTCAAGTCTTCTCTGGATCGTAGACTTTTAGATTCCTTGTGGAATAAGTATTGGGTTAACACTTTGAGCTCGACCAGCCTTCTCACGGTGAGCGACAGCGTTATTCAACTATAATGTCGAAGTATTGATATAATTTCAAACTTGTGAGGGTGTCATATAAATATTTCCTTATTCTGTCCTTAGAATGCAGAATATACTACGGGTCAAATATTCGACTTGTCTGAAAAATTAGAACAGTCTGAAAATTCCTTGGGACGGAGTGGTATAATTATTGGAAGCGACCCTCATGAGAAGAAAGGCGAAGATAAATTGGCGAAAGCAACGAAAGACTCGTGCAAAACAACCATTGAAGTTATTCATGGACTGATGACACAAATTATCAAAAGCCGGCTTTTCAACGATGTTTCGTGTCAGAACAATAGGAGCCCGGCTAGTGAGGCTATCGATGTTGTGATGGAAAATCCTTCTTAAAAAGTAATTGATGCAGAACATACTGATTTATAAGCATACAATTAGTTATTTTTAATGCATTTAATCCAAACAGCCTGGGGTTAATATTTATATGCATTGTTTATACTTCATACCACATAAATAAATAAAAATATGTAAAAATATACTTATGTGCTGGGTGAATTTGTAAAATAATGCTTCATGTTGGTACACGCATTTGTTTTATTATTATTTCTAGCATATTTGAGTCATAATTAATTAGTTTATAATGACTTCTCTCCATTAAAATAGTAAATGGACATATTTGTATAGGGATGACTACACTTACACATTTCGATAATGTCCTCTTTGCTTCCATACATCGACCCTGGCTACTTTGCACGGAACATTTTTAGTCGGTGCCAACGTACTATGGTGCCGTTTTATTCAGTTCACTCACAGCTCTTATTTACGTGCTACATTAACTTTTTCCCTATTTTATTAACTGTGAACTATTCACATATTGTTTATATAAGTTTATATACGACAAACATTCGTGGCTGCTTAAAATTAAAAAAAGTCTAATGTTTTGAACGAGTGAACTTCACAGTGAGCCAATCACAACACAATCTACTATAATACCTCCTCAGAAATTGCATGTCAATTCGCATTCAGTCAACTCTTCCGATGGACGATAAATTATTTTTAACTTTTAGCGCAATAACGTTATTTATAAATAAATCTCGAGATAATACACGGCAAGTTTCTCTCTGTACTATATAATTAGCGCATACATTTATCAAAGTTTAAACTGTTATGCAGACTCGAGGGTGGTCTTATTATAAGTTTTTGATATTTATTTCTATAGTGTATTCTTAAACAAGTCAAGTGCATAATATTGAAGGTGGAGGTCTTCATTGCAGGACTGACAGGTTTGTCGATTTTGGATAAGGATTTTGAATAATGAAATGCAAGTGTTTAAACAAGCAATTGAGTTGATTTTAATTGTTGCCACCCCCAGAAGAAGGTGCAGGGGCTACTTCAATTATTTGGATCGTTGTTGTTGTGAGAGGTTCAGCATGTGGTGCCGTTCTTGCTATTATTGATGATTCAGGTGTATCAACTCCTAAATCATTTTCTGAGTTATCCTGATGGGTCTGAGTACTTGGGGATTCAATTAGTTGTGATTGATCCTGCATTTGGTGGGTATGTGACGGCTGTTGTTCAGAAGGTACTTGGAAGTTAAAGGTCAATGGTTCCGCCGCGACTGCAACACTGTATGGAGGTGGAGGAACTACAACTGATGAAGCAGCACCACTAACGACAACATTTCCGTTATTATTGACATTTGTTGACGTAGAACTAGCAGCGTTGGCATCCATGGGAGGCTTCTATTATTTTGTGCGATACAAAAAACAAATGAGATAATCTATGAGTTTTTCTCATCTAGGAAGTAGCAATACCTCATAATAATAATGATGGTTTACTACCTTTGCATATCGCGGATCATTCACGGCTGTATCATAATCAGGGAGATCCGGCAAAAGATTTTGCTGCAGTCCCATTAGATTAGTAGGATCATCATGCCTAGAAATGTACATACACGCATGTGATATAATTTCTTCTGTAATTAGCTTATCAATCAATTGAAGCGCATTAATTAATCTTTTATCATTGTTACCTGTAAGCAATGACAGTACGGATAACTGAGTTTCGTAACATCAGATACTTGTAGCACTAGAAGAAACAAAAGACGCAACAATGAGTCATTTTTATTAAAAATATAATAGTTTGCAATTTATGTATCACATTATTTTTATTTGCTATTCTTATTTACAAAAAACTTACGTTCCAGACAACCCCGATGATGTATGCCTTCGCAGCAATAAACATAACAATGGTCACCAAAGCAAGGAGAGACAAGAGCTGGGGATCCATTTCCACTATTAAAATATAAGTAATATAAATATTATCATAATATTTAATTCATTTTTAAATAGGAAATTTGAACTCCTTGTCTCTAGTCTTCATGTGTCTATAATAGTCTATATATGTTTTTTGAACTAAAGTCATTCTATCATTAGTCGAGTTGAAGTGAAAGCTGCTTATTAGGCATTAGACAGACACTGTCATTAATTTATGACTACCTACCGAGTGCATCTCGATTTGGGATCCAATGAGCATGGGAAATGCTGTACGTAAAAAATTAAATTTTAACATTTTACAAGTATTGGCAGTTTTCGAGGAAGAATTTGTATAATAATGTCACAAGTTTGTTACCTATCCGTCACATTTGGTAAATACGAGAAATATCCCACCATAGTTAAACTGCAAATCAGAGAAATACAATTAGTATGTCAGCCTACACATCATCATCAATTGATTTGAACACTACGTATATACCTAACATCACTTACCAAAATATGCAAAAATCAAAGACCCGTAAAACAAAGAATGGCATGAGGTAGGATGGTTTACCACGTACAGCACCATAAACCATAAGGAGAGTTATCAACATGTTGCAGACCGTGAGAAGAACAACTTCTGCAACGATAATCATAAAAAATAAGCTGCTTGCCTAATTTACATATCAAAAATCAATAACAAATCTTACGAGAATTTGCTTTGCGATCCATAACCATGTTCAAAGGGTCTAATCTGGCTCGCGGATTATCGGTTTGGTCAATTGTAAGTGAATCCGATTTGGGCGATAACTGCATAATAGTAAAATTAGTTGTAAAAAAACAATATTATTTATACGCAAATCCATCTGCTTTTACTTTATAAATATTAAATACAACGCTATATGTTTAAAATTGAAACCGTTACACTTACATCGTATGGATCGCTGAATTGCTTAATATCGTTATTGCTGACGCTGACCGGTGTTGGAAGCATTTGATCTGGGCTGATTGGTTTGCCAATTCTACTATCATTGCCGGCATCATACATGAACATGGCAGCAAGGAAGGACAAATACAAAATGTACAGCATCTAAGAAATACAAATAATTAATCACTTTAACTTCATAAAGTATTTTTTATTTATTTTTATGTTTGCTTTATTACCAAATGACAAACACCAATAAAAATGGTGACTGTACGAACATGGAAGCAAAAACATGTTCTCCAAACATCGCGACGATCAATCCCCCAAATATTCACAGGCATCCCGGCCTCCAAGTTGTTGAAGTGATATCTCTGTTGATGGTGACCCGCGTGGTGGCGATGACGTCGATGAGGTCGTGCTGCACTGGCGCTGCTGCTACTTTCTTCTCGAGTTGTCTGCACTTCTTCCGCAGCAGCCGTGGAAGGCGAAGGTGAAGGCGTCGAGGAAGAGTCTCCAGCAGTGGAGTTATGTGCTCCTGTCCTTGGCGTCCTCATCAATAACAGTTCTGATGATCACTACGTGTGTCTTACCCCTAGAACATTTAAAATAAGACAGGTCTGATTAGACAGATATATATTTTAAACAACAGCATAAATTTTGAGTTTCTAAAAGCGAGCAAACCATTTAGGGATCATATTATCCAGATTTGAATTTTACTACTAACAATAAGTAGATGACACGTAGAAAGTGGGCTTGGAAATCATGAAAATTATGATAAATCCAAAAGACCAGTGGAAAGATGACATGACAATTGCCTTACCAACACCAACACTATCGTATTGTACTCGAATTGCATAAATTCAGAGGTGACGGTAAACGAGAATTGCGTAACTCCGAGCTCAGTTGAATTGTTAATAAAATTGTGATAATTCAAATTCATTCATAACTCTCAAGGTTGCTATAAAATGCTTAAAACAAAAGTTTCCTTTCCTGTCTATTCGGTATAAATTCGTCTTCCGTACACTAGTGCGAACGAATGTGCTTAACTTTGTAATTGTTTTTTTCTATAACTAATTATATAAATTGTTTTACTATTCACTCTAACATCAAAAAGCCTATATAGTTAATATTAATAATTAAAATGAATTTAATTAATAGCTACTAGCTCTTAATTTATAACCCCACCCCCACTAAAAATTCGTCATAGCATGAATGAGTAATTAGCCAAATATACCACAATTTCCCACGACCACAAATACGCGATACAAAGAAATTGCAAAATTCAACTTCCTCTTTTCAAAATAGATTATGAATAATTTATAGACTTACTTTTTTCCCTGGGGTTTCTTGTCTCGACTTGTGCAACTTTTACTCTACTTAATAAAGTTATAATCTTGAATTGAAGCCTTGATAAACTTTGAATAATAGAATTTCTGGTTGAATATCACAATTTAGTAACCCTTAATTACTCGTGCTTCTCTAAACCAACTGCTGGATAATAGAAGAATGGGCAAATGACAAAACAAATGACAAAAATATAATAATACCCGATTTATTATGAGTTAGAAATGTTACTAACTATAACTAGTACAGTACACACATGCTTACTTTGAATAATAAAGGAAAGCTGAAGGCTACGGCTGGTTGCTGCTGCCCTTTACACACTCTGTGCAAACGTGTGGATTCTTAAAGAATCATTCTTTTGCAAAAACTGCATCTCAGCCAGAGCAAAACGATTCTGTGAATAAATGTTCTTTACGGAGCACGCCAAAACTGTGCCACACATCGTTGTCGAGTAATTGGAATTACTAAATTAAGTAAAGCTTTGCAAAAACATTCTATTAGATATTGTGCATTACACGATTTAAACGTTAGTTTTTAGTAAAAATCAATTCATGCCCCCCACTAACATCATCATGATCTTTTACGTGCTCTTGGGCTGGTACATTATTTGTTGACGACATTACGACCACACAATATTCGCAAATATTCTCGGATCATTCACACATTTTCTCGTGCAATGTTCTTCTAAATTTTGGGATCCAACGAATGTATGATGATATGCTGATCAGGGTCCTTGAAAATCAGGGCGTCTTATGGCTGACGTTGGCGTTGAAGGTGCCCAGAAATGGTGCAGACGTCAATGGGTGCGAGAGCTCTCTGTTGCGAGAAACTGCAAATTTTCTCTCAAGTTGAGCAGATGGCGAATTGTGAGGTGAAGTGATACGAGATTTCACGCAGGGCGGCCACTTCAAACCTAACCGTGTGTTCTACTCGTTCCCTGTCTGTGCGGTGTTTCACTGATAAACTCGTCAATTGAAAAACCTTCTTACAAATTTTCAAAAAAAGAAGAAAATATGCAGAACGACGCTGGAGAATTTGTTGATCTCTACGTTCCTCGAAAATGGTAAGCTAAAATTAGATATTGATAATTGATGTAGGGATAAAGACTTTATCATAAAGTGACGATTTCGAGCGAGTTTTATTATATGTCTCAAATTGCTACACACCGCATTACACTTTGCACTGTTTTTAAATTAGTGGAATAAGTGAATTGATGGTGGTAAATTTACTTATAGAACTTCAAAGTAAATTAATGATGCTCTAGAGAGGCGAAACAATTGATTATGCACTTTAATTGATTACTGATCTATTGTGATTTGCAGTACGGCTAGTAATCGTATCATCCACGCAAAGGATCATGCCTCCATCCAGATCAATTTAGCAGATGTGGACGAAACTACCGGCAGGATGTTGGATACTTCAAAGACCTATGCGATCTGTGGGGATATTCGACGAATGGTGAGGAATTTGTATGGTATTGTACGTTGTGACTTTAAATATGTAAAATTAACTATGAATCTTGCAGGGCGAGTCCGATGATTGTATCAACAGGTTGGCGAAAAAAGACGGACTGCTGGCGAAGTAAGTTTCAATGTATTTATTAATTCCTTTAACCTCTATAAATTTTGTACTTCTGAGTATAACTAACTCAATTTTGTATTTGTTTCAGGAATTTTTAATTTTACAAAAACTGTAATATGAAGCAGAGCGGAAATAAATTCGACTGCGAAACAAACCAAGGCCTGATGAAATTTGTGTTATTCAGCATCTATGTTAAGATTTAAACTTCCATAATATTTGTGGATTTCTACTAATTTCTCGTTCATGTTCATGTTACATCCGATAGTTCGGTCGGGCATCTCTGGAAGAAGTGACCAGTGTTGGATAGTTTTGTTGAAAATGCAATATGGTGGTCAGTGAGGGTCTCGTTATGTAACCTTCACAAAATATCTTATGTAATTGTTAGTTTAGGATTCTCGTCATTCGTCAATTATACTATGGTCATTTGCTCTGTATTATAAAGATTATGCGAGTTCCCATCAACAATCTGTCATTACGCTTCTAGTATTACTTCATAATGCACATACAATGCCATATACACCTTAAATCTAATTAACTTTGCAACAATTCAAAATTACACCTCCTATAAATTATGCCATTACATGTGATTTATTTATTTTACTGCATCATTTCTCATAATATTCTAGATATACATTCAATACCGTTGATGCTTATTAGATTTCTTGTTTCGCAATCTCATTAACTATTCAGTTTTTGTATAAGTGTTAATCAAACAATATTTGTTCGTGCAATAGAAGCAAATTAAATCTGCAAATCATTAGAATACGCCAAGAAGGATCATTTAGTGGATTTCTATATTAGGATTCACTTGTGCGCGTGTTCCTTACATCATAATTAATATTAAATATAACTGAGCATCCGTATTATTCTGTTGGCTTATTTTGCGCATTGAAGTATGTAGAACATGTTTCGTATTTAAACACTCTCTTCCTCCACCTCTTGTCTCATATTCCGAGTTTACCTTTACCTTCTATTTAAGCAGCATTACACGCAATATGCAGTAATGCGAGGCGAAAATGGTTTAAAATAGTAAAAAACACTAATCTTCAGGATATTCGTGGTGGTGGATTGGTTGGTGTGTATTATTATATCCGACTATGTATATCGTTGAAGTGTTGAACCTTTCGGGAATAACGGGCCAGCTTTGGTACCACTGATGCCACTGGGCAGTGATTCGCATCCAACAAACAATACATTTCGAAAACTGAGTGAATGACTAACTATTATGAATGCTCAAGTATTATAAGCTCTAAATGGTACGTTCTGAAGGAAGTGCATGCAATTTAGATTGGAGGTGAGATTATTTAAATGGATGCATCTGTTGTTGCAGAGTAAAGAAAAACCACAAAAAAACGAATTCATGACGAATGATTACATAGTAATGTACACCAACAAATAAAAAGTTTGATTGGACTTGCACTTGAAATCGTTCAATAAACTATGTACCAACACTTTTAACATTTAAGTGACAGTTAATCATAAGCAATGAGCATGCAAAATGCTCAATGTTGGCGTGAGACATCCTTTTAGTAGTAATATTTCTGTACTGCAGAAGCCTTCAACTTGGCGTCACAGACATTCGGTGAGCAATGCTGGTGCAAATAAATGTAGACGTACATAGTGAGTAGTGGATATAGCTTGATGTGAACAAATTTACCTTTTTAACTCGTGTTCCTCTCTAAACATAAGTATGCAGGAGTCAACCCATAAAACGCGAATGTGTGCAATTCAGTAGAGCAAAAGAAACCGAGTGGATCTAATCATTGCTTTTCGAAGCACACAACTTGCTGGCTTCATGCAGTTTAGCCTACTCTTTATCCACGCAAAGTTTATTTCAGTTTTGCAAAAGAGGAAACATGTAGTTCACATAACGACATTACTACTAACCCAGTAGCTTTGCGCTTCACACAGGCAGTCCTGGCAGATCTGTATAGTTCAACAATCAGTCAGTTTCAGTCAGGCGTCCGTAGTTGTAGTCCGATTGAAGCATCATAGTTCCATTGGGCAGAATGATAAGCTTATCGTGATAAGTGCCTACATCTCATCGTCTAATGAGCATCGTAACCACGTGGTCTGAAAAACATTCATTCGCTCTCCTGCTATAGAGGCTTAATTACTACCAATTACCACCTCTCGACCTCACGATACGTGTCTATTTTATTTGAATAAGTCATAGGTATACACCTATTTATTATTGGAAAATTGTGCTCCTGGTTTTTCTACTGAATCTTGCAAAATTTCTTGTGGTTCATTAGTGGTTCATTCATTAGTGGCAGTGGTCAATTTTGACGAATATCCGTTCCCAATATCCACAAAATCCAACCATCAGAAAGGTAAGAAATAGTTTCGGGATGTTGAAATAAATCTCATCATAATATTTTGATACGCTTCAAAAATCTGATTGCATAATAGGGAGCAAAGCCATTCATTCTTTTCTTGACAGCCAGCAGAGAAGCTTGTTTTTTTGTTTTTTGTCTTTGGAAAGTTTTGTTTAAGATTCTACTATGCTATGTTTGTACGCAGTTAATAGGCGAGTTGTCTCTTTGTCTCTTTGCTCCATAAAAACTTGTTCATTCTTTTTACGATGTAAATAAAAATTGTCGCTCACTTGTCGTCAGCCCAAGATGATGCAATTATTGCAATTAGGAGAGTTAGGAAGAAAGTTCGCTTTAGGAGGGAGGGCAGTAATTTGACATTTACATATAATTTATTTCTTTGCTAGATAGGTGTGCATACACGTACTCGTCTTTTCTTACTCGTGAGCCGGATGTGAATAAAGTCTTAATTGGTTTTTGTGGACAGTTTTATTTTTATTTTACTTATTAAATTTCCTGACACATGACTTCAGTTGCAGCAAGTACCACTCACTCTCCACATTACAGCGGAGTCTGTTTGGTGTCTTGTAAATCTTGGATAATTAATTATTTAATGATTCGCATACATGTGACATGATCATACATACAACAATGACAATGAATGACTCGGTTCATCCTTAAACACATTTACAACAATGGCTTTCTAATTGGATTGATTAAGAATATCTATTTAACTGTGCTCCCCTGCACTTCATGTTTCCTGTTTTGAATATGTGCACTAGGCAGATCTGTCATCATCAAATTTCTGAATGAATGGTATTGTATGTTTTTAACTGGTGATCAATCTAGATACAATGCAAAATTAGTGTATATTTATTAGCATTTAATTCATTCGACCTATCATTAAGGTGTGCTTTCTTCTAATAACAATTTACACTATAAATGTCATAATAATTATCTCTGCGGTTTAATGAGCCACTATTCGCATATACATAAAGAAACGTTATAATTTAGTATATTATATGCAACTTTCTCTCGTTTGGCAAGGACAATAATAATCGAAGCTGTTCTAAAACTATTCTCTCTCAACGCCTCTGCAATATTTGTGGCTGTATGCATATGTAAATGAGACCTTGGCAAGACAATTACAGACACTGCTGAATGAAGTGAAGAGCATCATACATTTTCAGATTACGCAAACTAAAACAAATAGTCTCATCCGCTTCAATGGAAGCAAAACAAATGTTGATGATGCCAATGCACAATTTTATATTTGTGGTGGAATAACTTTTCAGCCAAACCGACGACTCACGTTGTCCCATTTTGCAATTGATCCTGTTCCAAGAACTCATAATTAGAGTGCAAGGTCGCTGCTTGGGAGTCACTCAACTTCCTGTCATAAAGACGTGGTATGAAAAGTCGGAGAAGAATTATTTAGCTGGAATTTTAGTTAGGCTTTCTCTTCCATTTCCTCGTTATGATTTCCTGTTGATTGATTTCCAGGATTAATATAATACTGAACACACAAGCATATGAAATTGCTACATTTACGGGATGATACTACACAACGAGGAAGCTTATATAGCCAAATATCAGACACATTACACATACGAATGCAATAATATATGTATACAAATCACCATCGCATGTAAAGTGCTCATTAGAATTTCTCAAGTTTTTTTTGACATTTCAATCTCGAATTAAACTCATTCATCTTTTGATTGTGCTACTTAATGATAATCCAAGTTGATTATTCCTTCCTTTGCTGAAGTGATAACGCTTAATAATTTCCTGTTTTTAGAAAATTCGCTTTTTCACGATAACATTCTTTCATTCAACCGACCGATAAATGTTTCATACACGCGAAACTTCATTTTTATATCGACGACGATTTCTACTGCCTGTTTAAATCCAGCCTCATTTACAATTAGTTTGATTAAAGGATTGCAAAAGTTTCACTGTACACGTATACACTGCATATTATGTACATATGGCTGATAAGATAGTGTGGTTTAATGGTAATCTTTTGCCGACGAAGTATCGGGATGAGGATTTATTGAAGCGTTGATAACATGTTATTGAAGCCATGCGCAGGTATGTACATATTTGCTGTTGTGAGACATGCAACCATTTTTACAAATTACTTGATTACTTGTTGAACACATTTCACCGTGTTTTTTTACAATTACCTAACTTTTCAACCAATTTGTGTTAATTTTATTATTAAAGTAATACACCAACAAATAATATTAATGTGAATTGAGTTACTATCAATTTCTTGTTTCTTCAGATCATCTCACATATTTATTTAGTTTCGAATAAGCTGCTGTTGACTTCAGAAGCAACAATACATAAGCTCATGTACGAACATAGTTCATTCGTGTACATATGTGTTTAAAGTCCCGTTTGTTGAAATTTCATGTGATTTTTATCGCATTTACTTTATTCTCCTTGCAGTTTGTGCTATATTATTATTCTTCAAGAGCCTTTATAAAATTCATGTCATTATCCAATCACTTGAATTTATTAGTTAGTCGCTTGGCATCCGACAGATTGAGGTAACTCAAAAAAAACTGTTGCACATTTCTGCTGTGGTCCTTCTTCCACGTAATAAAATAGCCCATCGTCTCATATTAAATCGAGGTAAATAATTTGCGAATAAAAATTAGGCTAAACGTGCTTTCCTGAACAACTCACGAATTCGGAAAATTGCATTTGCATGCCACGCCATGTGCTGTTGTTTACAGGAATAGAATAAATCATAAACGCGTGCATACTCCACGATTTTCTTTGTGTGTGATAATTAAGTTCTACATTCACGACTGTACTGTAACTTGTCGTAAATGAAATTTAATCTCAATTTGGTTGTTTACAGGACGTGAAATTGGCCAAATTTTCTGTGTTGAAAGACACGCAGAATTTAAAAGCCCTGCAGTTGCTGCATACACACATCCTGTTTCAAGATCTGGTTGGTATATACTAAATGTGGGAACGGATCGATACAAAGTTCGGGATTTGGGTGGTAAAAAAGTTGGCCTTATTCTTCTGTAGCAGTATTGTATAAGAGATGTCTTTTAAGGTAAACACCACCCTCACAGCACAGACCTTTGTACTCCCAACATTTCCTCATTTTTTTCTACCATAACTATTTAAACTAGAGTATCATCGTTATTATGCACAATTTGTGATAAGCGCTGTTCCTTCAGTTTTTCAATTTTGTTCAGTGTCTCATGCTGAAAGTTTCTTTCGGCAGAATTTCTAACGTCTATTTGTATATGCAATTTTGCACATCTTTTTATAGAGAGAAACGCCTTGGGATATAAAACTACATCGTGCTGCAATTCGGGGAGATTCTGACATTATTAATCACCTCTTGAATTCCGGACGGGTTCACGTGGACTGTCGAGATAATGTGAGTTGACATAATTAGTTATTATGCTTGCATAGATGGGACAATCCATAGTCCATTTGTTCCATACCTCTCTTTTGAGTTAAGTACTAAAGATTTAGTTACAAAAGTTGGCTTTTTTGAGGTGGCTAATTCTAATTTATATTTTGTTCATTCTTACATATGTCCTCCTTTTTGAAATGAGCAGGCAAATGACACTTTTTGAATTGCAGGATGGTACCACGCCTCTCATGTTTGCCGTCGCGGGGTGTAACTACAACTGTGTTCAGGAATTGCTAGAACAAAATGCTGATCCGAATGCGAAGCGGTTTGAGGTAGGAATTATTATGGATTGGCATGTCTCAAGGTGGTAACGTAACCGAGAACGTCTCATTTTTCCACTCTGATCAGACACGAACATCTCCACTCTTCCTGGCAGCTCAAAACGGGGATATTGACACATTGAGACTGCTCCTCAAATATGGGGCAGAGTTGGATCAACCAAATTGTGTTAGTAATTTTTCCACTAAAAATTAACGAGTTATGCTTCTTGGTCAAATTGAGATTGTCATAAAATTGGACTACGTAGAGTAAAAACTCTACTTATTTAAATGTGTAAACTGAATTAAAAGTGCCACTTGTGTGAATATTCTGCAGGACGGGGGAACGCCACTCTTCGTTGCATGCCAGGAAGGACACGACATGATGGTTCGAGAGCTTCTTGCACTGGGGGCTGATCCGAACCATCCGATGAAGGACAGAGCCACGCCACTCTTCGTCGCAGCCCAAAACGGCCACTGCACAATCACTAGGCTCCTGCTGAGTAAAGGAGCCATTGTCGATATCCGGAGAATAGATGGTGCAACGCCATTGTGGATTTCGTGTACGTAAAACTAATTATTAAATCGTATGCACTTTCTTAAGTTTATAAGTATATATTAATTTATTGAAACTAGGTCAAATGGGACATGCCACTGTGTGTTCAAGTTTGTTGGAAAAAGGAGCTTTTGTTGATGCATTAAGAAATGTATAAACTCACAGAGACATGACTTGAAACAAGTTTCAAGTTTATATTACATACGTGACGTATATTTCAATTTGTACTAAATATGCTTCCAGGATGGAGCTTCTCCTTTGTTCAAAGCAGCTCATAAGGGATTTCGAGATGTTGTGAGAGTGTTATTACCGTACAAACCAAAATTGGGCTTTTTACCGGTATAGTAAATGTTTATTTCCATTTTGGGCCGATTTTAGAATTTACATAATTTTGCAGAATGGTGAAAGTGCGTTGCACGGTGCGGCGATGTTTGGACATTTGGATGTTATCAGAACCTTACTGCATGCTGGATCGGATGTCTCATTGACCAACAGGGATGGGAACACGCCTTACCAAATTGCTCTCAAGTACAAACACCCACATGTCGCAGACTATCTTAAATCACTTATTTCTTCCACTCCGAAGCCAAAGCCAAGTCAGGGCCAAAACTTGTGAAACTGTTTCGGTGTACATATCGGTATTACCGTGTCTTATTTCCTATTCATGAAATGCCTTGTGTTTTGAACGTTGATTGAAGCCGCAATTCCATTGTTCATAGTTATTTTAGTCAGTCATTTGGTGCCCTCAGGAAAATATGTTGCACACAATGATATAATTCTACCCCAACTTTATTCTATTTCTATTGTGCCGTTTTTCATCATTAACAACGAACGACCGATATATTGTGTCGTCTAAATGCAATGCAATCCATAATTAACTACATATATATATATATATTTATGAGTTTATTTTTATGAACTGTGATGAGATTTACTAAAACTAGTAAAGAATTAAAAGCGAAACAGATGATAAAAGTAACAAATCATGTGCTTTATTTTTAACAATCCTCCTTTCACACACAGCTTACAAGAATGTTTTTTGTAGTTGTAGCATACAATTAAAATATGCTAAGCACTTTGCTATCACTTCGTATCAACTAGATAGAACAATACATTTTCACGAAAGTTGAAAAATATTAACCAACAGCACAGAAGCTGCAAAAACAATACAAGAATTCGACAAGATAACTACATGAAGGTATGTATGTAATAGTTTTAACCGCAATGACTGATATTTGGTAAGTTTTTCAGATAATTACCAAACTATTAATTACAAATTCTTAATAATTTGATTAATTTTCTCAGCGAATTCGTCCCGTTTACGAATAAATTGAGCTTCTTGTTCCGAAAACTGTTGTCTCGGCATCTTTCCAGTTGCAAACTTCTCGACGGTTTGAGAATAAGTTATGTAAATTTCCCAGAATCCACGATCTTGTCTTTGCAGTTCGGTGATACTGTACAAAAATCAACAACAAAAATAAAGGCATGTGAAGAGATAGTATGGCAAACAATAATATTAGTGAAAATTGCCAGTCTCTTTCTTACGTTTCAAATAATTCGGGGGCCTCGCTTCGATGTTTGCTAGCAATATCATTGATGGCCTGGGTCTCAGTTTTATGTTCAGTCTGCATATTTTTTAAAGCAGATTGGAATGAACCACTATCCTTATTATTCTTCAGTTTGACCAGTTGGCTGTCAAAGTTTTCATAAATCTGAGCTCGTTTGCCATGTTTCCGGAGTACATTTTCAACAACAACTTCATTTCCAGTTGGCCCTTTTCCTGGTTTGGACGAAGAAATGGAAAAATCAAGACGAACGTAGATGATCACAGTTAAGAACAGTATCAAAAAAGCTGCAACAATGAGCAAAGGTTCTCGGAGCATGTAAACCTACACAATAAATAAATATATGATTTAGTTATTCCCGTTGCCAGACTAGCAAAACAATGGATAATGTTTGGCAATGAATGGATGTTCTTTACCTTTGGAAACGTGTACTCTACAGTAAAATCCTGAATATGATTTTCAACAAGATTGCTGCTCAACACGGTGATAACAGGACGACCAATGACATCAAGGTACGTGTAGTGCAGAGATCTGGCAAGTTCTTTCACTGGGTAGGGTGGCCTAAACTTGATGTTGCTGGCTCCTTCAGGGAGAATAATCTTGACAGACAAGTCTTCAACAACCATGGAGTCGAATACGTGGTCCAAGAGCCTCATTTTCAAGGCATAGTTGGATCCTTCAGCAAATAAATATTCGTATGAAGGAACATTGTAGCCTAAAACGTATCTTGTCTTCCATCCTCCAAAGAGTGGAAATCTTGGACGAAGAGTAAGTTCAACTGAAAACATTCGACAAATTCATACAATGAAATTCTTATGATCACTTTTGTTGTATTTATCAATTAATAAAATATGAACCTGAATCATGTTTCGACCACATGTTAGAAGTGGAAATATTTCCAATGTCATCTCTGTAGTACACATCCTTGGCAGATGCGGGTAAAATTGTCTTGAAAGCTTTGATTGAATTAATCCCCGAATTTGCTTCTCGTTGATAATCAAATCGTGAGAATGATCCCTAAAATAATTTTAAAAAATTTGCTATCAAAACAATCACATTTCACAATATATCATAATTATAGTACGTATGTATCACACACAAATTCATTTTTGGAAAAGTTTTTGTTTACCTTTAATTTCGCCCCTGTATGGACAATTTCGATTTTCTCTTCAACAGCGACATTTCCCCAATGTGACACCTCAATCAAACGGTCCAACTTTGTGATGGTCAGGAAAGGACTATTGTTTTCATAATGGGCGATTAGTTCACTCTGTGAATATGGGACGATATTTTCATACGGGCCGAAACTGATGATGTTATCCGACTGTGAATACGGCTTTAGTTTCGAAAAGCTTTCAATATTTCTCGACGACAAGGTGACCTTCGTAGACTGTTTTTTGACTGTGTATGGAGAGTACACATAATGATTTCCAACAAATTTCACCAGTTGCTTCTCCTTTTGTGTGATTTCAGATGGGAAAGGGACAAGATGTTGAGTGAAAACTTGCTCGACTTCCAAATCAACGGTTTTCCCCTTGGCCAGTTCAGTCGCAAGCTCTATCTTGTACGCTAAGGCTTCGGTATTACCAGGGATTTGAACAATAGAGGTTTTCAGACCTGCAAATTAAACCAAGTTCAATGAAACTAATCAAACACTTGCATATTTCAAATTTCATTGTATCTCGTGTTTGTATGTATTTGTTGTACGAATTCCATGTCATTTAAATCTACTTTATTATTAAAGTAGACACAATATGATAGGCATATTCAAATTAATCTCCGTCTCTTTCGACACTTTTCATCGCGACATCGTGAGAAAGCAACACAGAGACGTATCTTGGCTTGGACATAAGCCGAACTTAAACAAATAGCCTAAAATTCATGCACTATGGGCTACGTCACCTACCAGTCTTTCCATTGTTCGTCGATGCGCCGATAAATGAGAGGTGCGCTTTAAGCACGGGTTCCACAGTGAACAAAAATACTTTGGTCGAAGCCGCATTCGTATTTTCCAACTTTATCTTGTTAGAAATGAGCACCACTTGGCTTGAAACATCCACCGTCCTGTCCACTGAGAGAATCGTCAGTTCTTCTACACGGACCTGGGCCACGGCCAGACCGACGACGGCCGCCAGGAGGAGGAGTCCTGGGCGAAGTAGTCGTCCCATATTTAGATTTTTCCTTGGGTCAGTCCGACCTTTTCCTATCTCTTCAGTGTGTATGAATATTCTACAAAGGTAAAAGACCAGTCAAGAAGCGCACATTCAAGAAGGGGTTTTAACAGATCAGAACCCTTGAAATTGAGACCTAAATAGTTAATTGTTAAATATAAAATTAATTGAAGCTGTATACCTGTCAAAAAATGCTGGAGAGGAGCCGGCCGAGCGAGAGCTGGAGGTTGCGGAGTGGTTGGTTGTGAGTTGTGTCAAAGGAGGCGTGCTCACCGCCTCACTCCGGGAATTCTCAAATCACTCAACACCAACTCAAGCCATGAACTTGCAATCGTGAAACGTGTGGAATTTGTAAATTTATATTTCTCAAAATAGATACCCACCGTTAAGTTTACATTTTATCGGGATATTCTTAGAATAAGGTGAGTCCTCCAATTTAAAGCATAGCTGCATTGAAATTTGCGTATCCTATTTAACCCATGTTTTGTTTTGATTTTGATAATTCATGAATCATGACTTTATTATGCAGAATTTAAAAGTTGAATTAAAATTACATCATGGAGCCAGACGAAGAAAACGCTTTAAACTCAGAGTCTGAAGATGAGGACTATATACCAGGAGCTCAACCTAGTGAAGGTAATGGGTGTTATTTAATGCATTTATATCTCATTCTTATCTACCGCATTCTAATTTTGCCGTATGTGCAACTTATTTATTTATTCAACTATCATTGTATAGTTGTAAGTGAGGAAGAAGAAGATGGTGATCCTGAAGCCAAGAGTGATGAGAGCCGCAAAAGGAAGAAAAAATCTGCTGGTGGAAAGCAAAGAACAAAGCGCCAACGCCGCCGCAAAGGAGAAGATGATGATGAAACTGAGGACGACTCCGACGACCAAGATTTTATCGTTAGTGAAAAAGATTTGGAAGAAAATCCAGAAGAAATCGAGACTGAGGATCCGGAAACGAAAGCGCGAAGGGAGCTGATGGAAAAGGAACGTACGGATAGACTTTGGGAAGGTATTAAGATTGATGAAACACAAAAACGCTAGTTTGATTGGGTTATTATTTTAATTTTGGATTTTCATCTTATGTTAACAGATTTTCTTACGGATGTTGAAACTACTCAAGCCAAAAGACGACAGGAGAAAGAAACTGGGTTTAAAACTCCAACCGAGAAAATCGTTACAAAAGTGTATGATTTTGCTGGAGAACGGGTACAAGTGCAGGAGAAAGTTAAAATTGAACAACATACGAAGCATAAAGGTGTTTCAACATCATTAAATGGAACCACGACGGCAAATACAGAATCTAACAATGGATCTGAAAGTGGAAATTCGGAAGAGGGCGATACACCGAAACGGACAAAGAAATATAGAGTTAGTTTCCTTAGTGGGAATCCCTCAGATATAGGGTTGGGGGGTGGAAAAGGAGTCAGTGCTAAGGAGGGATTGTCAAATGTTCTAAATGCTCTGCAAGCTAAAAAGAAGAAAATTGGAACATTGGAAAAATCAAAGCTGGACTGGGAAGCATATAAACAAGATCAAAATATTCATGAAGAGATGTCAATTCACAATCGCAGCAAGAATGGGTAAGTCCGTCGTATTTTCGTGTTTGTTTATATATTTATATATTGCACTGGTTAATAATTTAAGGTTTAACTTACTATTAATATCACTTCGTATTAATTTACAGATTTATTGATAAACAAGAGTTCTTACAACGAGCTGATGTACGCCAATTCGAAATAGAAAAAGCAGCACGATCAAAGAGAAGAAGGCCTTTGTGAATATAAGCACATAATGATATTTTTTGTAAATTTGTTTGTTTTTAATACCAAGTTATTGATAAGGTTCATTTTATATTACTAGTTTCGCCGTATTCCACTTCGTTTGTGGGTTAGCTTAGTCGTACTTGTGATAATTAAGAAACAAAATATGTAGAGAGTATTATGTAGCAATCACGGAAAGCAAGTATCGAGACTTTTTACATGTTATTATGAGTATACATATGGTCAATGGTATAAATTACATTCGAATCTTGACATGTATAAAATAAATTCAAAATACAACCTTAATTTATTCCATATTATTTCACTACATCAAATTTAGATCGGTTATTCTCAGATTAAAATGCTTCTATATTTCGACTAATTTTGAGTCGAACATTTACTCAAAAGTTTAAAAGAGGACAAGTTCACAAGTCAAATAACTTGCCTTCTTCTAACAAGCAGTCGACTGTCGAGCGGTGCACCATGGTGGGATGTCTGGTGGTCTTAAATGGACCATAAATACCCAGAAACCAAATCATGCTAATGGAATTTTGTGGAACAAAAACTCGTTACATACCACCGTGTGATTTATTGACAGAACATGGCTCTGCTTCTTAGACAATCCTAGCTTCGGTTTCTAAAATAATTTCCATGAATTGAGACATTTAAAATATTGAATAGTTCTTAATCCACTCTTGAAGAGAAGAGAAGGTACAAAACGTTCCGGGATTTTTGGTAAACCATATTCAATTCGGTCTTTTCTTAAACTAAAGGACTTCTTAGATTACAAAAAAGGACGATGATAATCACTCGTTTGGGAGGGATAACATCGCTCCTCCACACGTGTACATCTCGTTAAGCCGATAATGCATCCCTGTTTGTCAGGATGTCATGCAGGGGACTTAACTCATGAAAGTGAGACTTGTTCCATGTCAGCTTTCTTAGTGGGCACTAAGTAAACCCAATTTCCATGAAAATTATTCCTTGAAAGGCAATGAAAGGGCAACTAGCCGATGCATGCATGAACGAGTCAAGTGGTGCTGGTGGGGGATCCTTGAAGTTGTGGACCTTCACTTGCCTCTCATCATCCGTCTTTACATATCCGTCGTATGCACGAAGTATACAATTTCAAAACTTTTCTCTTCTCCCGATCCCCAAAATAACGTAATCGTAGATAAAATATGCACCAACATAGCATTATCATATACAAAATTACGTTATGCATATTTTATTGATTGATTAGTGAACAGGATTCAGGAATGGCGACTTTTGTCAATTGATGAAATGGGCTATTTTCGTGAGTATAAAAGCTGCATAATGGACAAACCTGTTTCATCCTCTCGGTCTGAATAGATGGATCCTCCTATCAATGCTGACGTATGTACGTCTCTTCTGGTTGATCTGCTTCATCACCGAGTGAAATGAAAGTATTATTGCTGGAACTATATCAATACTATTGGAATCATCGATCAGAATGAGACTTGGCGTGTATTTAAGTAAACTGGTCAAAGGCTTTTAAGTCTCTTGGCTCTAAGAACTGACGCCTTAGCAAGACAGCGTGTCATTTATTTTCTGTTCATATGTACACTAAACCACAATGACCTTAACTACCTAAACTACAAAAAACCAACCCCATGGCTGTTTTAAGACTGAGACTGCATTGTTGTGTGTATGTACATAACATAATAGCATTGGTCTCCCTAACCAGAAATTCTCATCTGGCTTTGTCTATCCATCTCAGGCTTCTGCTGCTGGATGTGAAAATCTCATCTCGGTGTTAAACCCCGTCCAAGAACAACAGTCGTAAGTTCACCCTCCTCATGAAATCATCCTTCCTTTCAGTTCCAGATTTCTTATTGGGCCGTCAGTCTCGTGGTCGTAATCCCGACTGATAAATATTACGCTGCAAATTTATTCGACACGTCCAATGTGACCGTGACATATGACGTCGTAACGCTTAAATATCGGTGCTCAAATAATGCGTCACCTTTTAATGTTGAGATCATGTCTCACCATTAAGTTCCTGTTCCACATTTGACTACTGTCGACTCTAGTGAATTATAGCTTAATTAAGGCACAATCTCAAGAAACCCAACCTTTTTGACTCACCTTTCGGATTCGTGCAGGTTTTTTACGACCGTGTTCAAGTGTAAATAGGAAGTACTAAAGTTCACACTTTAGTATTGAAATATTTGTGAAAACAACGACAACTTGAGAATGATCGTGAAATTCAATCAGTGACTCATCATATTTACTCGCAATTTATAATTTTCCATCGACGAACAGCAACGTAAGCGTGCATGCAGAAGAGGAATTGTGAGCCAATGATGAAGTAATGCTGCGTTGGTTAAGTGGAAATTAGCGTCTCATCGTCATTTTGCGAACAAAGTATGTTTTATGTACAAGACTTGATGTCAAGTTAAGTCAAGTTATGCTCATGCACTCCTTTAAAGCACCACTCTAAATACTTCATATAATCGTACAACATATCGCCCATCGTCACCATTATTCGTCATTTCATTGTTATACAGAGTAATTTTCTTCGTCTATTAGTCAGAATATAATGCAACCGACATGAGACAATTACTTATGCTTTTTGTCATAAATTTGTGTGTCGAATTATTATTACATTACTTGGATTAAGGTCCTTACATTAATATTTACCAACCCTACGACAATTATGGTCATTCAACAAGCAGATTTTATCCATTTCGTTGTCCTGTTCATGCCCGTAGATTTGATTGTTTTGATTAGAAATGCAACTTGCATCTTGCAGATTAATACGAGTCTTCAATAAAATAAAATAAAATGGTACCGTTTCCCAGTCACGGACATCAGCGTCGAGATAAGTTTTGCTCCACTTAAGATTAAAGCAAAAGACAACATTGTTTGTGTACTATCGACACAATAATTTATGTCACACTGCGATGACAATACTCTGATATATGCAGGCAAAATACAAGGACTTTATTGCATCTAATTGCGAAAAGCATAATTTGTCCCTAAATTACGTATACTGCTATATACCTACACAATCACAGTCACAACTAAATAAATACCAATCCATACATACCTATACACTTATTACATGACATTTTAATCACAAATTTATTCTGGTCCTCATCATCATCTTCTATGGCAAAGTATGCCCATCCAAGATCTACATACACACACAAGATACTGCAATATAGTAAATAAATACACGCGAAAGGGTTGGCTGGTTGGCTAAATAGTCAAGTTTTCCAAAAGTTGTCTCATCGCTGACCGCATGCATCAGTTCTCTTCTGACAACCTCAAGGAAAACAGCTAATTTTTACCGTTTATTCGCTGCATTTAACTTTGAAGTTAATAATATATGTAGCATCTTAAAATTCAGGGTTAAATTAAAATTAAAGCTGCAAAACCACAGGCGTGGAATTTTAGTTCTACTAGGACAAAACATCAGTTCGTCCAACTTTGTGTGTAAACGTGTAAGTAAAGGCACATTTTTGTTAAGCATGTCAGTGACAGTGTCAGTGGTATGGAGAGTTTTAATTGCGAAAAGCTCGGAACATATACGCCGGTAGTGCTAGTGGCGCATCTAAAATCCTTAATATTATCATGTTAAATAAGACAAGTTCAATACTGATTTTTTATTGCGAACTTATACATAAATTCAAAATTACTGGAGAATTGATATTTGACCTGATGCAAAGGGAGGCGATAACTAAGAAATATCTCCGATCCATCAATTTCATCAATGGGGTATAAAAACTACAGACTGATGATGGTAATGCATTGCATTTTAGCACGCATCATTTGTAATATGTCGTCTCTGCCAATCGTAAATTATTAAAATACGGACGCTGTTGTAAAAAATCATATGCATACTGATTGAACTGGCTTAATGTACAATTGCACTATGTTGATGTTTTTAGCATAACTACATATTTACATACTACATATAGCAGATTTTGTTATGTTTCAAAGTTTGGATTGACGATTGATGAATTTTTACTCCTTAAAAAGTCATGAAATATTGATTTCGATATCGTCAGAGATGCATACGTCATACCAGTTGCATTACTCATCATCATTCATCTGTACATTTTTACAATTTGCTCACGGGGTAGAAAGTCGGAATTCCTCACTCAGTTTTTGTAATTCTCAAATCATAAATGCATTTTTGAACTGAGAGAAAATTTATTTGGAAGTAGATAATGTAAACATCTATGTTTGGAAATTCTGAGGGTGCGTTATATCTCAGGAGGGGAGGTTGTGTACTATCAACTCTCGGATCTCGATGCCCTTTGGATATGTTGTAGTGTCCCAGGAATGAACAAGAACCCTGAAGTGGTTTGATGCCATGGCCACATTTACGCACGCCACACCCACTCAAAGGTGCCCAAAAACCGCTTTCACTCCAGCTTTCACTCACTTAAATTGACCCCAAAAATCCAATTTTACTCCGATTTTGAAATTTCTTTCACCATTATACTCCCAGATAGTTGTTCTCTTATCTCCAACATCAAACTCAACTTTCTGAAATTTTTAGTATTTTTAAAATTAAAAATTCTGAATGGGAATTCTTATACTAATCAACAAAGCAAATTATGCCTGCGAAATAATCATCAAAAAAGTTGAGTTTGATGTTGGAGATAAGAGAACAACTCTGGGAGTATAATGGTGAAAGAAATTTCAAAATCGGAGTAAAATTGGATTTTTGGGGTCAATTTAAGTGAGTGAAAGCTGGAGTGAAAGCGGTTTTTGGGCACCTTTGAGTGGGTGTGGCGTGCGTAAATGTGGCCATGGCATCAAACCACTTCAGGGTTCTTGTTCATTCATGGGACACTACAAAATATCCAAAGGGCATCGAGATCCGGGAGTTGATAGTACACAACCTCCCCTCCTCAGTTTTTACGTCAAAAATTCATCCAACTTTATGATTGCTGCATTTTTTCGTATGTAAATAATTAAATTATGGGAGAAAACTGAGCGTCTCTCGGAGGAGAGATTCTTTAATTCAGAAATTAAATCAGGACCTTGAATCAGTAATTGCAGTCCAGATAGCGAGGAACGAGGTGTTCACTCCATGTTCACGTCCATATTGATCCAAGCAATTTGATTAGTTTGTGCAGGTTTGCATCATCATTATTCGACATTCGAGAGGAGTGAGTGCTGTGTAAACAAGAGTGCGAGCATGTTCATGCGTGCGTCCATTATTTAACTAACATTGATGTATTATTTTATTACTTTTATAGGTATCGACATTATCGACAATAAACTTTGCTCGTGTCGCAGCATAAACAAGTTGCCCATTGTGTTTTGACTTTTGATGCACAGAATTCTCATAGGAGTGAGACTGAGTCATTCATGGTGCTGTTACATATTGGAACTTCACCATAAGTCAAACAGGAAGACCGTGCCGTTTTGTGCACACATTATCCTCAGTGTGTTCATTATTAGTGGTACGCAACAAGGTGTAAACGTGTGCGAGAGAGTGAATGGTGATCGAGACCAAACAAATTTCAAGGGTGGAAATTGAACAAGTTCAGAGGTCTTCTTCTCATTTAATTCCACACCACCAACCAACCACCACCTCCACGTTTTTACGTGAGTTTGACTAAACGCATCGGAATTTTTCACCAAGTCCAATCTCGGAGGTTTGAGATCACAAGAAATACAACCAGCCCCCGTTCACGATGTAAATCACTAAATCCAAAAGTGATCGCTGTGTGTGCAAGATAACAATTTGTCATCTGTGCAAGTGGCCTACTGCTGCCAATCGTTTGTTGTCTGCATTGAGAAAAATGAGTCTAACCACTGGGGTAATTTTTCTTCGTGTCACACTCACATCATCATCCACAACAAATCTGCTTCTCGAGATGTAAGATTTGACTGGATTTTAAACTCTCCAAACCTTGGACGCCCCTTATAAAACACGGCGTCATCATCCAGCGAGATAGTGCATACAACGATAATCATACATTCATTCATGTCCAAAGTGAAGGATACATCATTATTGTTCATTGTATAACCAGCACATGCCTACTTTTATAACCGAACTTTTCCACACGGTCGTTATTTATGTAATCCTGTTGTTGGAACCCTTATCAGTTTAAAAGATATGGTGACGCCAAAAAATTCGTCACTCCTTCATCCGGTCTTTGTTTGATGCGGGAGCAAGTGGTGCCTCTCCTTTGGGAACTACACATAATATCTGTGTAAATGTGAAAGTTTTTGGAAACTTATTTACTACTGTCACCAGTATCGACAAATATAGGGTGGCTTATTTTGTGCTATGATCTTCCAATGCAATCCGGTATTTCATGATTATCAATCACGGGCAACAACAAGTGAACGGAAAAAACAAGATATGTAACATGGGGCAATGCAGCAACAATGCTTTCCTGGATATCGATCGGTTCATTTATTTGAGTGATAAGCCAACAGTGAGATATGCAATGCCAACGAAAACCCTTTGAGTTAATTCCATATGCCAGAAACCAGCTCTTTATTTTATCAAATATTTAATTACAGTGATAAGAGCGACTAATATTTACTCGTGAATAAGCACTTGAGCTACTCTCCAGGCTGGCATTTGTTGAGCAACGAGCACGAACTTTTGTACTATTTAATTGTTACCTGTAAAATTAAGTGAATTTCTAACTAATAAAACCCAGTGAGGTCGTTTGGAGGTCGAGGTTTTCATTTCAGCTTCTCAAATTCCAATCGACCAAGAAATATTCACTGCTCACAATCAGTACATACTTAAAACGCAATGTAATTAAATACTGTTTCGGGATTTTTTTGCATGTTAAAAGTGGTATACGCAGGTATACATCGAATACATACACAAAACACAAGTATTGGCGATGACATGAACAATGGAATGGAACTTGGTGCCTGTGTCAAAGTTTGTATTTAAACTCAGACAGGAGTAACCTGTCGGGTAGTTTTTTTTATTATTTTTTAAATAAATAAATTTCTACGTATTCGCTGGATATTAACCCTCGATCGAGATGAAGCGAAATCCAGGTGCCTTGGCTAAAGGTATTTACCACTGTAATTTACTCTCTGTAATTTACAATGTCAACATTTCTATTCAATTAGTCACTTACGTGGTGCATGCATCTGTACATTGAAAGGCGTTTGAATGATATGCAATTATTGCCAATTTCTAAAGAGTATATACTGAACCATTGCAGCTCTCTACTCCAACACCCCCGAGGCAAGGAACGAACTTTTGTTCCGGAAAGGAGATATTCTGACCGTCATCGAATATGACTACGATGATCAGATCGGTTGGTGGTTGTGTTCTCACCGGGGTCAAAGGGTAAGTAAAATACACTTTTAAATTAATCACGCCCATCTCGCATGTCACTGGTGTCAACTTGTCTCACGGTAATGTCGATTATCACCCATTGTACATAAATCCCGTCAAGTGAAGACACTCCACAAATTGCCGTGTTTCAATACGGGTTGCATTGCATCTAGAGATTTTATCTGTGCTACAATCACAATCTCTACGAAATCTCAACCATTGGAGACGATAGGTCTTTTTGAGTCAAGAACCTCATAAAACGTGTTGCATGAATGCAATAAAACCCAACAAGATGCAGTTGTGCACCATATTTCACACGTGCTCTAATTACTAAATTCTAAACCCAATGAATACATTGCATGTGTTAGTTTGCTCTTTGTGAATGCATGCGTATTTACAATTCGTTGAATACTCAGCCATCGCCATCTTTAAAAGATGTTGCATTCATTAAATACGCTTTAAAAATGAAATGCACTTTATTAAAGCCGCAAATTAAACCAGCATTAATAAGCAAAACTGCAGTAAGCACGTGACTGCTACTAAATATAAGCATAAATTTAAGCATACAACATTATCTACAGAGGACGAGGGAGGTCTGACAAAAGTCAAAATCTGACTAAATGAGGCTGCAGGGCTAAACTCGATTTGAATGGACATTGTATATCTACTATCTAGCATCTCTCAAGCAGGATTAAGGATAAGTTGGCTGACTTTGAAATTGTAGAATCGTTGAGCACATGTAATTTTGATTGACGCTTTTTATGCTTGTTGTGGAAATTAACATTTTTGATATTGTTAGGGGGAAAAAATCTGACAAATTTTCCTTCTTTGTGTGAGTTTAAAGATTCGGGAATTGATATTGTCTGATTTAAACACAATTTGAGAGAAAAAACCAGCATATTTTATACTTTGAGTGAATAAACACAAGAAGTAAAAAGCTCAGCAACTTTTTGAAAACATTTTGCTCAAGTGGTGCACCAGAGTTCACTTATTTGCTTTTGATTTGTAGAAATTCAGACGAATTTGAAGAGCTCGTAAAAGTCAGGCCATGCCACCACATGTGCCACGATTTGTGCGTTGGTTGGCACAAAGAAAAGATTCAGTTTATCTGCATGGATATGCTTTATGTGTTCAAGTTTTTACCACTTTACTCACTTGAGCATTTGCTCGAGGAGGGTTTTAAAGTGCGTGTTTCCTGCGTGAGTTCTTAATTTGTTTGCATTTGCACCGACAGAACGACGCACCGGCACTATTTCCCTTTATCTTGAGTAAACTTTCAAGATTTGTACAACTTGAGGGCGTTTTAGTGAAGAACGACGGACGGCACTGCTTTGTACACATTCCATCGAATTAACAGCTCTTCTTATTTATTTTAAGAAAATCGAAAGATATTGAGACTGAAAACACCTTTTCTAAAATTACAGACTAAATGCATACTCCATCCATCAGAATTTGCAAATAATGGGTGATATCAGACGGAATATAAAGCACTGCATTTTTTTGCACCGTTAGATAAAAGTCGTTCCAAAATCGGGTTCATATATTACGAATTAACAATTAAACCGTCATTTTAAATTCTTGAAAACCTTAAAACTCAAAACTGCCTGATCTGGTTTGTCATGAAATGGAGCCCATAAGCATCATGGTCACACTGCACTCTTGAATGTTGTTGAAATCGATAGGCAGCCTATCTGCATATCTCTGCATGGTTGTTACAGAGATCTACGTACGAAGCAGACTCATCGGTCAGCGTAATTGATTCAATTTTGAGCTAGTCGAGGGTGAAATAACAACCCGATAATCTTCTTGTTACTCTGTAATGATTGGTCTATAAATTCAAGTTTTTATGCAAGATTTGATCACCACTTGGCCTGCTCTAATTAATAAAGAATAGCCAAGCACTAAAGGAATTCGAAGCTCAACAGAAGGGTGGCATTTGATTTGCATATCTGATTTCATCTTCAAATAAGAAAATTATATGGTTTGGCCTTTTGATTGACAACAGCGAGTTTTATGGCATACACATTACAGCACATTTTTCCCAATTCTACACTTGTATTTACACAACAATACCTTAATACATACACAAATCTACGCTTGTTTTACTTCTTAATGCAAATGATAATTAAAATAATCAGCCCTACTTTGAGGGATATTGGCGTGGATGATCAATTCCTGACAAGGCCATGAGACCAAACAAGTCGAAACATTAGAGCTCATCATTATAAATTTGTAAATATTTCCTCAACGTTGGTAGCAAAAAAGTGTAGAATTTCAGCAATTTCCTGAGCAAATCGCTGTCACTACTGTAAATATACAGATACAACCATATTATAAACACAGAGTGGCACATTACTATGATACACACACATGTAAACATAAGTAATCTTAATGACGTAAATTGAGCATAATTGGTCGTCTTGTTTGGCTTTCACATTCAGATCCCGGACTCGTTCACGCTTTTCTGGTCACAATCTGTCAGTCAAGCAGTTAAAATCCTTCCAAGTACGCAATCACGACACGATGCGTGGCGTGAATATTACGCATAAACAGACGCGTCATGTGAATGCTAATTACTCATGAATGGAATAAACTCGACTTGATCCCATCCCATCAACCAATCGAGCGCATATTATGCACCACTTTCTGAGTTGTAAAATTAAAATGCATAGATTTCCTTCAGAAATAAGGATATACAGATAGAAGCTTTTGAGATGTGCTAAAGTAGCATGATTCATGGCACAATCATTCATAACCTATTAACTTATGTATAAAATCATACTTAAAATTATATGTAATGAAGGATTAATTTACATATTTTTCTCCATCTTATTACAGGGGATTTGCCCCAGCAACTACTTGCAACTATTGGAAGACAACTATTCCTTTGTGGATCATACTAATCGCTCAGTATTGGTAAGTCTTACTCATTCAAAAAGTTATAATTTCAGAAATGAAGAATATCATTTTGTAACACGCTTGCAAACTACGGATTTAAAATTTGTAAAATAGATGAACATTTAAACGAAGGAGTGGTCATCGTCGGTTTGTGGCATTTTGCATATTTAGCGATGTGTGTTTGTTGAAGTTAATCGGTTAAAGGAGAATACTTTGAGATGACCTCATATTTGCAAACATTTGAAATACTTGGGTGTGAACAAACTGTTCTTGAGGTAGCCAAATGATAAATCTCTTTTTTGCGTGTCAGTGAGTATAAAATATCTCAAAACAAATGTAAAATATTTATATCAACAAAAGTCAGGAATATTGTTGAACGATGGAATTCGACCCTCCATCCATAATATCAGTTACAGAAAACACGCAGTGTCAATTCACACAATTTTACGTGTGAATTATTTTTAATCGGGCAGCCCGAGTATTACATTTGATTGTCTCAAATTCCCAACTTTTATCACAAAACATACAGATTCTGTTGGTTAAAACAGTTGTTTTATTTAAATTAAAATCCACCTTCCTCAACATATTTTCCAAATGTGTTGGAAAACAGCCTTATGTGCAATATCTCTTTGCAAATATTAATGTCCTGTCACGACAAGTCATCCGTTGCCAATATGGTTTGCTTTGTGGCAGTTCAGTTCTTTCGCCTGTTTTGCTCGTATGTGTTTGCTTACGTGTTCCCAATTCGTGTTATCCGTTCTAAGGTGGACACAAGATAATACGAGGTGTGCTACATAAGTGTTTACCGTCGCACTGATTGCCAAGTATAGCCAGCAGTGAGCAGCCACTACTCTGCACAAAAAATTAATAAGTTTTATTGTGAAAATGTATGATATATGTATTTTATGATAATCTGTGGCTCGTTCATCTTTGCAGAATCACATATGCGCCCAAATGTTTTCTTCTCCTCATTTGGTTTGCTAATCTCATTTATTATATTGTGCTTTGGGGTGAGGTGGTTTTACGACAACTTTGAAACTCGCAGGTTGGGGTAGGCGATGCAGATAAGTGGCAGGCAAGGGCAAAAGTGCAATTACATTCACCTGCTAACTTCCTTTCGGTCCCCCTCGTCCTGCCTCCCTCTTGGAGAGGAGCTGTAAATGCATACGAGTCAGATGGCGAACCACTGGCTGTCATCGAGCTCAGCATAATTATCCCATTACCTTTCGACATCCTCGGCGGATATCCATAAATACTTCATATAATTCATTTAACCACTCGAATGATTCCCCTTTTGGCTCTCTTCTCGCCATCAACGAAGCAACCACGGATCCACAATTCGGAGGGATGAATGATCTCAAATTGATTTTCCAGCACCACTGCTCTTTTTGAGTCTCCTTGGCACACTGCACTTCATGTGACATCGGACGAGAGCACTTCGTGGGTGCATTGGGTGGCCTGGGTGCTAATAAAAGGCAGGAAATTCTATCACGAGAACAAACCTCGGAGTGAGTTGATGTTAAAATGGAAATATTGAGACATTTACATAAGACGACCATGAATCCAAGTTCCAAAGCACGCCGGGTGTTGGGTTCTATCCACAAAGTCACTTTTATTTTCATCTCGTAATGTTCGAACATCCAGCCAGAGCTAAAGTGTGTGTGCAGCAAGTGGAAGTAAATTGCCGAGATTTATGGAGCTTCAGCCATAAATTGACTCCCGTCGGATTTCTGCAGTTGTTTTAGTGGTTCTTCCAGATTTCCAGATTATTTTGACGGAGAGGTCTCAATGAACTCTATTTGCAGACAGATGCTATCTTATAACTAATGCAGAAATGGGGCTTGCGAGATATCTGCCGTAATCATCGGGCAGGAAATAAAATCACTCCGTAGTTCAGGACCTAACATTTGATTTTCCACTTTCTCAAGTCAACTCCAAACGTGGAGAGGGATGTGAAAAATATCGACGTAATAATGAATGTTACGCAGAATAATGGCAGCGTAATAATAAGTCAGGAATGCGTGTAGCAAGTGTGTAAATGCTCCTATGGTCGAACCGAAGACGTATCTATTACCTTTAGAACAAAACAACTCGACGCTGTCGGCTGCATTGCATTTTTTGACTTTCATTCTACTCGAAAGAAATGGCTGAACCGTGGTTGATGCCGTCGGGAGCTGACTAAACTGAAGCCTTTGTTAATATCCTCTCCGTTTACAAAGTCGAGTCACAGTTCAGAGGAGACATGGGCGTATTCTTTACTCTCCAAGTTGAGTTGGGTTAAGTTTCCGACTAATTTTGAGCCTCTCTGGCAGACAGGAAGAAAAATAACTTTCTCTTATCCTCGTCCGCCCAGTGTTCACTCTGTCACGCATTTACTGCCATTTCTGCAAAACTATTTTTGTTACGTATAGCGTTTGGGTTTATGTGGAGGGATTCCATTCCATCATTCATTGACAAGTGCTCTCCACGGTGGGACACACGACCCTCGTTGGACTTTCCCCGGAGGAAGTCTTCTGAGACAATAGTGACGTTGGGTAAACAGAGCAAAACTTTGCAGAGAATGAAAATGCTACCACCCTAAACCCAGCTTAACCAGATTATTCCCAATACTTGGTGCAACATTGATGTGTGTCGTGGTCGGTATTTCGTCACGATTTATGTATGTGCATAGGTACCAATTTAAGCACCGGAATCGAAGCATACACCCTCCAGCGTTCATTTTATTGCAACTGCGACTCTAAAACTGAAGTGACACGAGAAAAGTGTGGCACGGTATGGACAAGCGGAATGCAATATTATGCGCCCATTATTATTGGGTGCCTGGCTGTTGCAATGCAATGAAAAACATTAAGATCAATAGTTTGGCGCATGGTTCCAACCCCAACAAACTGCAGGCCGTGTAGAGAGGAGAGTTTTCTGCTTTTGAATTTTGGTTAGGCGAGGAGAAGGGAGCCTGAAACATGCACCCTTCCTTCGTATACTCCAGGCTAGAATTTCCAGCAAAGGCAAAGCCACACCACAAATGTTTTCCTATTTTGTATTTGGAGAAACTGCATGATCTCAGATGAGGAAATTTACGTTGGGGTTCTCTCTTTCATTGTTCCAAGTTCCCTGCTTCTTTCCACGCTTATGGAGATGTCAGGCTTGCTCAGTACTCCATACTACCCACCATCTGAACTACCCGAACACTTTCGTGCTGTACGTGCTGGAGGGTAAAAAATAGTAACTCCGACCAAACAGCCTGCAGTGTAGTAAGTCGAGATAGTAGCTAGGATTCAGGTTCATCCGATTCTCAGTCCTGATTCAGACCTGGACCGACAGACGCACGATTTTTGTCGTCCAATCGCAGACTACGCTTTTTCACGTTTCTCCGTTTTTTTAGAAATAAATACTTTCTCTTGCTTTCCTGCCTTCTCTCCGAAAGAGTGAGAACCTGCTCTTTATTTTCTCGGAGAAAGCGGAAGCTAATGTGTCTTGCTCTAAATGGGAACTCGTGGGACATTACGGCAAAGGCTTAAATTGTGTTGGACAGTAAAAGACGAACAAAAGTGTACGCACTGACTCTTGTCGATTGCAGTGAAAGTGTAATAAAAGAATTTACAAGAGGTTAAAAAGTCGTCGTCCGCGATTGCCATTTTGTATTTTGTATTCTTTCTCGTGAGAGTGGAGAAAGCTTTTTCAAACGGAATTGTGCATGTAAGTCTGTTGTTAATTGAATTGCAATTGCAAGGTTGGAAGACCGGTTATTCGGATTTCTTATCCTTCTGTATAGAAGCTGTCTCTTTAAACTGCATCAAAATTGAATTTATTGATTTATGTATGACTTTACGATTTGGAGTATTCATAAATCGATTGGTACTTTTTCCAATACAATTGAATTGGTCGTCCAAGTTCTTTTAACTTTTCGCCTTTATACAAAAGAAAAGAACTCAAATGATAATAATGAAGAGAAATATGTATATTTCAGAAACGGAGTTTGAGTCATTCTGGAAGCGGAGAAGCCCATGAGTCAGCCTTGGTAGGAGTAGGAGAGGGGAAAGTTGAAGTGTTTGATCCACAAACGTACGATGTGCCTCGTTCATGTGTGCAGAACTTATCAAAATCCTCCGACCCTGTGGATGAGCCCGTATTGTATTCAAATCAACAACCCCTCTATCAGAACGAGGAGGAGGAATTTATAACCAAGACGAGTCCTCTGGATTTGTATGACGTTCCCCGAAGCCAACTTCCCATTTATGGACAATCCCTCGCCCGCCTGCGAAGATACGGTCATCAAGCTTCCGAGTCCTCATTGTTGGCACCAAGAGGAGGAATAACCACCAGTCTGCAGAACGTCAACCTTGGCAATTTTGCTTCGGCACGCAGCTCGTCAAGCTGTGATTTGGGGCTGCCACCATCAGGCAGGATAGGAAGCAATCGAACCTCTCCAGACAATTGCAGCAGCATTAATTTGGCTGAAACGGGCACAATTCCCGGAAACACGGCACACGATTCCTCATCCATTATTAGTCAAACTAGTTCCGGAACCAGTCAAGTTCAACTCCGGAATAGTCCACACCGTCGTCTGCCATTCAGTTCCACCAACTGCATTCCCACCTCCTCCTCCTCCACCGGTATTCCCATCAATCATAGCAATCGGTCGTCCGTCCAGTCGGAATCTGCAGAGTCAGGGATCGGAATGGTCTCATCACCCCCCACCAGCTCTCAAGACCTCTATGATGTTCCCAGGTCCACAGCAGTGCGAGTTCAGACGAGACTCGATGGTGGGGTTAATGGGCAGCAGTTGCAGCAAAGTAATGGCACTTCTTCCAGACCTCAAAGCTCTCTCTCGGCCTCATCGAGTGGAATGGGACTCAGCATAGCCAACAGTGACTCCAAGGACAGTTTGGATTTGTATGATGTGCCTCGTTCCGCAAAAAGTTATGTGAACCACATGGAGACCAAATATGACCATGTCGTGCATAATAAGCATCAAGGATCAAGTGCCGGTAGTACTACCAGCTTATCCCGGGACTCAACCTTGACCAAGGCTGCTCATTCAAGGCATAACAGCACCTCCAGTATTTTCAGTGCGTATGGCTATGCTCGACAAGGCAGTGCGGGTGGTGGTGTTAGTGGTGCTGATTTCACGGATGGGAAAAGACCCGGTGGGACAATCAGTCAAGACTTTGGCAGCATGAATCCTCCCGATAATGCTGCCAATGACCTTTACGACGTACCCAGAAGTAGTTGTGCTGTGCCCCCTCCGAATCCCAGGACACACAGAGGAATTTCGGGTGGATTCGGTGCTTCTTCTTCTTCCGCCTCCATAGCATCCTCCAGATCAGTGGTGTCCTTGTTATCGGATGGTGATCTTACAGGATCAGCCAGCATGTTATACGACATTCCCCCTTCGTTTACAAAGAAGGTCTCCTTGACGGATTCCTCCGAAACGCTGAGCTTCAAGGACAGTGGGAGTGAAAGTGGTCAGAGTGGGAATCGCAGTGACCTCAAGTTGGGAGCTTCATCGTCTAGTCTATCAACCTCACCGGGAAGGAGGCGCAATCACGTCTTGAGAAGAGGGAGCCAAGGAGTTAGTAATAACAAGGCATCATCATCGTCATCTTTGGGGTTCACAGGTGCTGGGGTTGGATCTGCGGATGTAAAAATCCTTCCACTGGGTCCAAAGGCGGCCGTGTCGGTCTGCGAAAAGTTGCGACACGAAGTTATCACCAGCATTGGATCAATTCTGAATCAAGTGAAGCCTAAGTGGAGGAGCAAGGAAAATCTGACGGCAATTATGCCCGATCTCCGCTTCAGCTGCTGCAGACTGAGTTTGGCAATCAAAGTAAGTCGATTTTTTCCCTCACCCTTTGACAAGAAGAGTCTGAGAAATCACATCAAACCGTATTGAGCAGAGTAGCGTCGAATGCATTTGTGGGATCGTGTGGGTCGACGGAGCGGAGAAAGTTTTCCCTTTCACTTTTCTAAAGATTTTCAACAAAAATTTCAACCTGTCATCTGCATCTCCTAAGTTCTCTTTCCGTACACGTGTATGAAATTGCTTATAGGACCATGAAGTAAGGTAGACGTAGAATGAAGCTCGTGTTGCATAAATAAATTCAACTTCCATACCAAAATTCAGAATCAAGTCTATCAAACTGACAGCTTGTCAACTGCTTGTAAAAACATCTAAGCAAGTTTTACATATTTACTTTGGGATAGCAAGTCTCGCTGCTTTTACCCCTTCGATGATACAGCTCTCAACCTAAATGACGGTCAAATTTATACTTTGTACATAAAATATTATTACAAAATAGACTTGCATTTGCCTTGTTTATTGCATAATATCGAACAAATTTTAGTTTTTTTCAGCTCAATCAATTCTAAGAACACAGAAGTATAGTTTAGTTTATGCATGACATTCCAATGCTAACCTTTGTGAGGAAGCTAACCTATAATTGTGTACACATTCCTCAGACAATCATGCTAAATTACACAATTTGTATCTTTCTCGTGGGTGAGAATAATTGCTCAAGATTTAGACCTGAGCTGTTTTTGGAACCAGTCCACACATCCTCACGCATTTGCTACCCTTTATTGTTACGTTGTGCAGACGGGGAAAAAGAGGATAATTAAAGCTTAGAAAAAACTACATTCTTGTTATCTCAATGCATATCGGGCCACACAATAGCTCCCTCAAAGACTCGGATCCTTCTGAACACGTGTATCGGTTGAGCTTCCTTCAAGATTTTACAGATTGCTTTGGTCGCCCTTTTCCTTTTCAAAGCCTTTCTTCAGCCCTAAATCTCATTTATCTTTAAAGCCAAGTTTGATTTTGATCCGATTAGTAAAACAATCACGTACGTGAAGGAATGCATCCCCTGCACTGTAATGTTGTTGATGGCACTCAAGTGACCACCAACTTTTCTCTGAAACCTTCCGTCGGACCATATTTCAGCACTAAAAATACCGCTGTATTCGTTTTCAGGACATTTCGGAATTTGCAACGCGAGCCTTGTCCAATGCCAAGCAATTGGGAAATGAAGAACTGCTCTCAAAGCTTCACCGACTGATGATCCCAGTAATGAATGGCTCCCAAATCATTCAGAAAGATGTCGACGAGTTGGAGGCTTATTTCTGGTCCGCGGATCGTCTCAGCGTTTCACCCGGAAATAGTCACCACGAGTCTGGAGATGCGCTGGGTAAATTAGTTTCAACTTTTATTCTTATTTATAGTCAGAAATGTAATTTGTAATTCATACGAAATTATTAATCAGAAAAATCTCAAATTACTAATATGTATTTCCAAACAATCGTTAACATAGTTTATTGTTTTCTATTTCAGATCAATTAATTCTTTGTGCACGAAGTTTGAAACATGATGTGACTGAAATTGCAAACTTTTTAGCCCTAAATTCATCCACCCTTTTCCAGGAGAAACCTGTACCTATAGCGGAAAAATCAACGGTGAGATTCTCCTCTTGACTTTCATAAATAATGATACAGAAAAAGTAATTATCGTTGCAATTCCAAAGTTCTTGCTGCATAAAACAAAGCACGTCATCACATTGTGACATTTATGATGAGTTAATTTCTCCAAGGTGGAATTTTCACCTAATGTTTAGCTACTTGTTTACCCAGCATGTCCGCCACTGCCGAGTGAGTGTGGTAGTTTTACGGATCATGGAGATGGAATAATGAATATCGAACGAGGTAGCCAGAAATTATGTGCAATAAAAGTCAACCCGTATGCTTATCGCATTCAACGAATGTTATCGAGTCTTTATGCCCTGAGTTCTCCAAATGCTTCACATAATACATACTTAACCCAGTACATACATATGCGTGCACGGTGTACTGCTCGCAATTTAGTTGGTAATACCAGTGCGTCTCGGCCATTGTGCATAATATGTGGATCATAATATGTAGGGAACAGTAGGAAGGAGGATTGATTGCGTAAGTAAGCTCAGGCCCATGCGTTAAGCACATTTTACATGCAAACGGTTGGACGGTGCAGGATGAAACCTATTCTGGATTCTGTGGATGGTGACCTGAAGACAGCTTTTATTTTGCTTCGCTGGAAGTTTTACGACTTTCATGGCATGCATATTAAACTTTGGATTGAGTATTTGTCGAAACAGTGCTTCATTCCTCACCCTGCGTTCAAATTTTAAGGTTTTGATCCACCTAAATAGGAAAAAAATAAATACAAATCAAGTCTGATCGTGAGTCATATCATCCATACGCTGGACATATATCTGGAAATATGAGGAACAAATTTCAGAAATTTTAGTGTATGCGCACGACCATTACACACATGCAGCAATAACGAAGGATATTTAAACTCATCGATAACGACATTGATTTATTTTATTACTTTTTCTGTAAGACTAACAAATATGCAATGAATATTCTAATTCAATAATTAAATCTTTTCAGGTGGGACTGAGTCAAGACGATGGCGACGAGTACGTTAGTTTGGTGCCTAGTGCGGAATCTAAAAATGACACGACTCCTTTGTCCACTCTTTCTTGGACGTCTTCATTGAAAGCAGACAGACCGAATTCCACCCCCGTTCCACTCGATGCCAGAGATGAACAACTGCTGGAATTCTACTCTGCGCAAATTGGCGTCACAGCCCCGCTCTTATCCCAATCGATATCCACTTTCATATCTGCCATTCACCAGAACGAGCCACCAGAAAGCTTTAACGTCCATCTAAAGTATGGATATTTAAACCACTGTCACTCATCACAAGCATTGTTGTTTTTAATAAGCGTTTGATTTCTTTGTTTTCTAGGTATGTGATACTCCTCGCATATCGAATGCTCTTTGGCGGAGACACTGTCCATCGAAACATTGTGAACAATGCGCAACTAAAGATTGCAATCGAGAGCCGAGCAAATGATCTTCATAAATCCATTTTAGCTCTTTATGAAGCAAGTAAAGTCGCCACGGCGGAATTCCCTAAAATTGTCCCTATGCAGAACATTGTGGATCGAGTCTGGGACACGACGCAAGCTGCCACGCAGCTAAAGAAAGTCATCTTTAATGCCACTTGTGCTACCCTGTAAGCTGCTGTATGGCATCGTTACGTGTATCGTATCGTAATTTCTTAGCATCTCACAAAATACTACATACTTCTTTCCGGGTAACAAATGTCAAGCTCTCTCTGTGTGTCGAGAAAGAAAATTTGTGGAGCACAAAAGATCAAATTCCGGGTTTAATTAGGGGAACATAATTCCACAACTAGTTTGTTTCTTTTATCTTGAGTTTGTACAAATTCTAGCATCTGCAGACTTATTTTTTTCAGGAAAATAAACAATCATACATGTACGTGGAGATACTAATGATTCACCCACTGCGACTGAAAGATTGTTCTTTTGCGAGCATAAAATTAGCAGCATGTTCTACGCCAAAGAATAACAATTTTGTATGACAAAAAATTTAGATGGAATTTGAGAATTATTTTTATTTTGCAGTCTTGCTTAGAAAAGCTAATTTAAAACCTAGGCTTGGTACAAACAAAGGAATATTTCCACAAAATGGAAGTGAAGTAACCGAAAAAATGTTAGTTACCTTTGAAAAGACCTTGAGAATGTGTTACTCCATTGGATGCACTACACATCCGAAACTTACGGTTATTGCTTGTTACAAATTCCTTGAAATTAAATTATGAACTGTTTAACATGTAATATTTAATTTGTGTCTTACCCGCATGATTATATTTTGTAAACAATAATGTCAATTAAAGTGTAGATTGCTATTGAATTTTGAATAACTGTGATTTTAATGTTGATCCTATACTAAAATAGCTTACTAATAAATAATTACTAATTAATCACATAAAGCAGTATATTGAATGAATTATCTAGACTATTATTTATATAAGAAACTGTTCTGTTGTCTGTTCTTGTTATTTATTTAATTAATTACTAGCTGTTGGCTGTTTGTCCACTTATTAGTTATTATTTGTACAATTATGCAGTAGATCGTGCCATACTTGTAAGAAAACAATCCTATCAATATTTATCTTGAGTTATCAAGCCTCAAAGAATAAACGTAATAAATGATCTATAATAAAAGTGACTTATCAAATAAAGTAGATCTCGTGGAGCATTATCTGTTGAATTTCTCGATAAGCGTGGACGTTGATTTTTCATGAACAAAGTAGAAACGTCGTGGTGGTGGTTGGACCGAGGGCCGCGCGAAACTCAAAATCTACTTGATTACTAGTCTCCTTCTCCTATAAACTTGCAGAAACATTAAATTTGCTTGTTTTAATTAGTCTCTCGCTTCTTCACGCTGTGTATGAATCGTGAATTACGACTTTACAAACTTACGTTTTGAACAAAGTAAAATAGTCATTCTTGGTGTACATATACATATCACTGAACAGAGTGTATCAGTCCGTTTCGAATTTTGGAGTAGAGATTATAACGAAAATGTCAGTCGAACAGACGACTTGTGAAGGTGAGAGAAGGAAAAATTGCTTGGTTTACTAGTATCAGTTTGTTATTGGTAGAATTGTTTTTTAATTTTGTTATATTTTAGATCTGAAAGCTTTTGAGCGTCGTTTAACTGAGGTGATATCATGTCTGAAGCCGGCAACGATTCGATGGCGAATTATGTTAATTCTGGCGACAGTTTGTACCGCGATTGGTGCCTGGCAATGGTTGAATGACCCAGACACTCCAATGGTCTCGTTTATCGATTCTCTGATTAATCATCTCTTCTTTACCTTATCTAGTCTTGTATTGAGTGAGTGACAATTTATTTATGTGTATTTATATTTATATTTGGTAAGAATTGAGACATGGCTAAAATTTATACTGTTTTAATGATTCTTTAGTTCTACTCTTCCTGACGGGGATACATACGCGTGTGGTCGCTCCCTCGATAGTAACGAAACGTACGAGAGAAGTGCTGGCAGATTTCAACATGTCCTGCGATGACACTGGAAAGCTTATCCTCAAACCTCGACCTCCGCACACTTGACTAAATGTATTACAACTAATGTCCAATAAACTATCATCCTCTGGTCGGTCCTATTTCAATCGTCCTAAGAGACAAATTGAATGTCGTGATAGTTATGATAGCAATGAAGGTGGATCTTCTACTACTAATGTGGTAGATGAATTTGATGATGATTAACTTGATAAGACGTACACATACAAAATTAAGTATGTTATTATTTAATATTACACATGATGACAAAAGGATGACTGAATAGGAGTTAAAATTATAAGCTATACATTATTAACGTTCAATAGAACTAACGAAGCAGGAATTATAATTACTGCTTACTTAATATTAATATTATTACAGTATAGGATATAAATGTGTCAATAAAGTTTTGTCAATTTTGTCAATAAATTGTACCAGAAATAGATTCTTTGTACATTGACAAAATTTATTGCGGCTAGATTATGTCAAAGCTGTCTGAAAATCAGTAACTTAGCTGAGTGTGGTCGTCCAGGTAAATCTGACCTTCTTTCCCTCCGTGTGGTTACTGTTAGACTTATATATGACGAGTGTTGGCATTGCGATTATAAACCGGCGTCGGGTAGGAGTTAACGTACTCAACACGTTCGTCTCGTAGCACTGCGCGTTGCAAGTATTTTTGACGGTAGGTTTTTTAACAGTCGAAGGTGACATAATATCTTCATAAATTGACTCCTGAACCTGATACTCCTCGTCCTCGTCCCCACCCGTAACCAAATCTACGGCTTCGGTGGTATCATTACAGGATGCTTCCGGATTTTTGAACGAACGGAAGGATTCTTTAAGGTAGAATGAGGAAAATGAGTAGTAGTAGAAATATAAGGAATCTGATACGCAGTTCTTGCTGTTGACAAATAAATCTAGATCTTCAATGGTGATATTTAAAGTAGTTGTTGAAGTGGTGCTAGATGACGACGAGGATGAAGAAGATGTTGCTTGCGGTGAGTTGAAAAACATTATTATCGTGTCATTGTGGTTCAGAGATGTTATTCTTTTCGACATGGGGAGTTGCATCTCATTATTGGCGAGGTTCGGGAAGAGGACAAACGTTTTTCCTGGCGATTCTCTTGTCGTTGATCGAATTCGTCGCAAACTGTACGAAAGTCGAAATCCTCTCCCAAGTGTGGACGAGTAAATTGAAGAACTTGATGTGGACCTGAAACTTACCAACGCAATTCCAGATTGCACCGTAATATTCCGCTTAACGGGGAGGTAGCTGTAGCTGGATCTAAATGCATGCAAAAAAAAACATTCAATGTCATTGTCCATGGTATTGCTTTTGGATGCAGTTTTATTTCTTGTTCGTATTTTTACGCTTCGTGTCGAAGCCTCGTGGACACTCCAATGGTGCCGAGTGAGAGGGAAACGGGATACACGTAGATCGCGTCCCTGTCCAGAACTCCAGATACTTCCAAATTGAATAAAATCGACGTGGCTCCAAATTTTGTGCCGTCAATCAGCCAGATGCAATTTTCATTGCTTGAGTAATACTGGTAAACCTTGTAGTCAATTTTCCCATTGGGCAGAGATATCAACCCACCACATCCACCTATAACATAACAATGTAGCTGTTTTATCTAACATGCGTTTTGTTTTGATATTTATTTCGATCCAGGACTTATAACGCTTGAAATATGACTGACCTGTGTTCCACGTCAACTCAAACTCTCTTGATGCAGTGCTTTCCATTCTTTGAAGAGGTTTCACAATAGCCAAAAATCCCGAATTGTTAAACTTCATGTCAAAAGTCTCTGATTTTGAGTGGAAATCTGCAGAAGCATACGCTTGGGAAAAGTCGCACTCCTCTTCCAATAGTCCTGTGACGACTGTGCAATCCACGGCCGGCGCAAAAGTATTGTTGCTGTCCCAGGACGAGAAAGAGTACAGACTGAAATTGTACCCTTGGCCGACGGTGCTGCTCTTCATGGCGTGGCTCATGAATTGGAGCGTGAGTTTGTCTGAAATGGACAGTGTCGAGGTGACGTCCGGGTTTTGTCCAATGATCAATAAATCAGTAGAACTTGGAACACCGTCGCTGATCGGATATTCGACGGTGCTGGACGCTGTACTCCAATGTCGCATCTCATAAGTCCTGCCGTCCTGAATACTGCTCCCAGAACCTGCGTACTCGAGCTCAAATCCAGTCTCAGAACTGTATTGCGAAGGACTGCTTGCAAATTTCAGCAAGATTAATGGTCCCCGAACAACCACACGGGGTGACTCTGTGCTAAAAATTAATTGCATTAAACAATTAATGGCATGTTCCATTAATTATGATATTTATGCACATAAAAATCAGTTCAGTTCATCGGTGTATACAGATCTCTATGTAGGTACCTAATTCTCGTCGTGGAGTTGAGGTCAATTTTTCCAGTTCCGGGATCAATCGTATCAATCGAAATAATTCCATGTCTTGTCAAACCATTTTTAATTAAATCAAAAGTAACGTTTGCGTAACGGCACTCGATAAGCCAAACACAACGAATATTTGCTCCAACGGGTTGACCTGTTTTGTAGCCGATCCTAGCTTGTTGTGCAGGCTCTATTCTTCCTCCGCACGTAGAATCTGAAATTGTACGAAGATTTTTAGACTAATCTAAAATCTGCATGATAAGAATATTACTTTTGGTCGTAATAAGCTCGCATCTTACAGCTCGTGGGTGCCACAGCCTCTCCTTTTCGAAAAAATAAAAATAAAATCAATCAGCTTGTTTCTGCTTCATCTCCACCTAAGAAAAACTAACCTTGATCCCAGTTAAAGTTCAGCCGAACTGAACTTTGGGGTTCATGAAGTTTGGCGACCAATAGGAAAACGCTGTCACGGCTGGTGAAATTTGATGGATTGGCAGCCCCCACGGAAGTGCTCGTTCTTGTGACACTAGAGAAAAAGTTTAAAGCTTTTGTTAGCCTGGGTGCGACGCAGAGAGGGGGACGACTTGGTTAAAATGATTGAATAGGTTTACTTGATAAGATTGTTAAAAGTTGCATTTGTGCTCTCAAAGAGTAAAAATGTAGTAGAACCCGTTAACTGATAATCCAATCGAAGGTTGCAAGCATAGGGTTGATAAGACTCAAAGTGGTTGATGATTCCCACGTGAAGGCCTGAAAATTATAGAATATCGTAATAAATTGCTAATATGATGGTATTGTTTCTACAATATTCACATATTTATGGCGTGTTTGGCTACCTGGCCATGTCGGTGGCATCGTCAAGTTCCAGGCTGACGTACCATTTCGTTCTGTATACCGGTGGATTTTGTCATCGTTTGTAAACATGCTTAAATTTACGGGACCCTTAGCTTTCCAGGTGAGGGAGAAACCGTACAATTGCAGCGAGGTGTCAGAGTAAAATACGATCAAAATAACGCGACCACTTAATTCATAGAGCACATTTTCTTCAGTTAAACTATTGATTTGAATTAAGGAACACTTAATTAAAAACCATGCCTGATATATGTATTTGTAGACTCATATTATCTATTTAGCTAAGGTCATACGGGGTGGTAACAAGTCCGCCGTCATCGTCTATGCCAACTGCAAATAAATTTTCACGGCCTTCCTCGATTTGCAGCTGGGTAAGAGTGACCACAATCTCGGTTCGAGGAAATGGGTGGATAATCCATACACATCGAGAATTGGGCTGATAGCTTGAATACGACTCGGAAATACCCCCCTCACTGCGTCCACTGATTACTCCACCACACACCTCACCGTATTCTGTCGTGTCACAATATGTCATCGTAATCAAGTTCTGAGTTGGACCATGAATTTCGAGTCAATAAGCGTTCTTACTTGGCTTCAGTGTGTGCTCTTGAATGTCCCAAGCCAATCGGGCGTAGCTCGATGATGACGACGTGGTCTGCTCGAAACCCGCACTAATGTTGACACCAATCAGTACCAAGCAGTAGTCATTTCTCACTAAAAACTTGTGGTTCAAGCAGTCCACTTGGCAGCAGCTAAAAATAATTTATACATCTCCCATGTTTTTATAGTCAGACAGAGCGTATTAATTTGAAAGCATAATGTCGACTGGGCAGCGGTGGGAGGTGGAGTTTACTTACTCAATACTCATCATGGCATCGGGATTGAATAAGTCAAAGTGCATGGAGAGGGAGGAGGATTTGCAGAATTTTGGGCTCAGGTTTTGTAAAATAATATTTTTCATGGGGGACGATGAGTTGTTGTCCAGGCCGGGGATCGTGATGGTTATAAATGCCCCCGTTTTGTCACTGAGCTGGCTGGCCCCATTGGTCAACTCGGTCGCCACGTCATACGACCCAGTCAAGTTTTGTACGTTTGTGTGCTGAAAACTCACACGCGAAAAAACACGTGGTCCAAGTCCTTCGAATTCGACAAACTGATTCCTTGGGTTAAGGTTGCATTGACACGTGAGGAATAAAAGTGGTCCTCTGAAGAGGTACGTTTTGTCGCTCGTTATACTGCAAAACAAGATAGTTAACGATGCATTTGTATGCATGCACTCGGCTAATGAAGGAAGTTTATCACAAATAATTAATTATTATTTGTCACTCTTTTTCAAAAAGCATAGCCACCAGCAGAGCATTACATAGAATTTTTTACCTGGTCACTGACAAAGCTGGGGTGTCGAAGCTCTGTCCGTAATTCACTTGAACTTCGTGAACCTTACAGAGCGACATGTATCCAGAGGAATAGCTGAGGAGCTTTTGGTTGAGCAGCGTCAACTTGACTCGTTGTCGATGGTTTGCGGAGATTGTCCACATGCATTCTACATTGTCCACAAGGCCAGCAGATGATGTTCCAATGATGCGACCTGACTGAGCTTCGATTACTCCACCACACCCACCTTTGCACATTTTATTACATAGTCATAAATGGGACACTTAAATTACTTAAAAGTGTATATGCGTAGAATATATATGTTACATATAAACTTGTGTTACGCAAAATTACTTATTTCTTTCCAAAACATTTTGTCATCTTGGCCAGCTATTGAAGACAAAATGTGCGTTAATTCTACGGGTCAAAATCATACCGTTTAAAATATGCACCTGTCTCTGTCCAGTAATTTAGCTGGCATCGTCATGAAAATCAAGATTTATTTACGTTCATTTCTCCCACTGCCATAAAAATTGATGGAAATTGGCTACTAATTGTAACTCACAACGTCAGTATTCTTGACCATTTGGTTTTCTAATTTGTCCAATTTTGCATCCATTCGGTCAATCTAATCAAACAATATTGTCGCCGGTGTTGATATTTTTAGGCAAATATTTCAACTGCATGACATAATATGTAGCTACCTTCTCCATCATTTCCGCCATGCTTCTGCCGGTATCCAAACCTCCACTTCCTTGTTTATACACCGCATCTTTATAGCTGAATATTTAGCGTATTTCAAAAAAGGTGCTTAATTTATTATCATTTCGACTTTATTTTAGCTTCACATTGTTTTTACCTGTTTCCATTCCTTCGAATTCTGGTGTGCGTCTCATCCGTGGCTGTCACAGTGGACACAAATAAATTTCCACCAATTAAAATCACAGCGAAAATATAGGTGGACGGCATGCTAAACCTGTCTCCAGCTTGCAACCGGAGATTGAATCATAGAACTTTAATCGAAAAGTAAAGCTCACGTAGTTGCAACTAACAACTTGTTAAATTGATTTACTAACACTCCACTTGTTTTCATCTGCTCGGCATATTTTATCTTTTTCCAAGAATGTCGAATACCAAGAATAGTTGTGCATACGCCTTGTGTAGTTGTGTAACATTACTTTGACTTTGACCCAGACTATTCTTTATCAGTTTTCAGTTCTTGGGAATCGTCGCATCGTATTTTAAGATAATCGTAACTAAATTGTCAATTTGTAGGATGATTGAGCATCATTAGGTCACAGGCCAGCAGATATGTGTTTTTAGTCACTACTACGCACCCTGACTACTTATATATTCGTAGCAAAGACATGTGTATAAGCGGCCCAGACAATTTTTTCTAAGAAGAAGGCGACCATGCAAGTCCGCGATTTTAGTTTGCTTATTAATTACAAGTACAGAATATCTATAATTGAGGATGTTATTGAAAAGTAAGTGCGTCGTCTGGTATCTTCATCACTCTTTATGTAATTTTAGTCATCTAAACTTAAACAGCTCAAATCCAAATTAACCTTATGCACAACACAACAAAGATAAAATGGTTCTGAGAGGTTGCAGAAGATGGTGCTGCACTGGAGATTTGACTCTCGTGGCTTGCATTTATACAACACAGTGATTATAATTAAAGGTTTAGCATTTTTGCATTGGAGAATCTCATCAAATCTCGAAATACGAACAAAAAATCATTCATCCTGATAAATTCTGAAAACCCCAACTTTCACTTTTCCCATTGTATAAAACTGGAACCTGCTGTTCAACACTATCAAATTTCCAAAGTGGTTCAACTAATAATGTCACATTCTGTCGATTATGTCGAGGTGCCAAGTTTTGGAGAAAACATATTATCCATTCATAATTTTGTTTGAAAACATCTGCAAACTGGCAATGATTGTGTTATGATTTTTCAAATTTTGGTTGAATAAAATCTAATGAGCAAGAAGGCCGACAAAGCTGTTAAACCCATTGGAATACAAGCGATTCTTCGATTACTGATTGTTCTATTGAGGTTAATCTCGGTAGCACATTATGGACCTTCGTCGCCTATTTCCTCTTTATTAGCAAGCAGGGGACAATTTTGGGTCCTGTTCTCTCATTCTCACTCATTTGTGGGTCTGCATTGTGAAACGAAAGGTTGGATTGAGGTAGATCTGAAACCAGATCTGAACAGAATACTGGTCCAGTCCAGCCAGATATGATGTAGCTGCGTATTATGCATTGGTCACACCTACTCAATAATGAACAAACACATTCAGCTACCACCAATTGTAACGAAACTCGAACGATTTTAATGTCACTCCACATTTGTGGAGGTTACAAAACTCGTCTCAAGAGCTGTCGACGAGACATTGGATATTATTAACTGACTCGACGGACCTATTTCTACCTTCCCATCTATACAAATAGTTCGTAGTAAATATACGAGGATAGTACTCGTACATGTATTCTTGGTAGGAATCAACACCGGGGAATCTGTGCAGCTGCACTAAATCTGGACTAAAGAAATCCATCCAGACAAAAATGGTCAAGTTGGGAAGGGTCGTCTTAGAATTCCGACTCGCCCTTTATAAGATCTGGTCAATTACTTCATTTCATCTTCCATTTGCCTCACGTTTGTGATGGGAAAGTGGACTTGAAAGGAGATGAGTGATCCGGAGGCTGAATTGCTACCACAATGCCACAAAGTTTCATATAATACCTCTTTGTAACGTCTGTAGAAGGGAAGCCTCCGAGTTTATTGTGTCAGACCAAATTTTAATAAAAAGACAATTCCAGCATATCCAGGCTTACGTTTGATTAGTTCCACTGCTTTCCAAAATCACCACAGATATTCATCACGTCACGATTCACTACTTTTCAAAATAATTGCTTTCGATCCGTCCGCAAAAAAATTATGTCCAGCTATTTTTTATTCTCGAAAGCTTGGTTTGATACAATAATTAGAAAGTTCACATTGAGTAAAATAATCTATCCATGTCTCACTGGTCGTTCTTCCAGGTTTGTTGCTGAATGAATGAGCAAACTCAAAGAAATCTTAATCCTGTAAATCCTGCTTTGAAAACGGAATTGTTGTTTTGTCAAGTTTTTGGTGTATTTGTAAAAATACGATTTAGCAAGTTGTTGGAAATTTACCTACGGGACAGAGATCGACCCCAGAAAATTGAACGAATTATTGGAAAATTAGTACACTCTGTAAAGAAAACTCGTGTTCTTCTCTAAACGAAACCTTGTTTTTGGATTTGTATGCATGCACGGATTTGAGCACTTATTGCTCGCTTACAATAACCATGATTGAATGGTGACGGTCGAAATTACTTTGCTGTTATTCCTCCACGTTTTTCCACTGAAATTCAAGAATGGTTTTGTAAATCTGGTGATTATCACTCAATAGCGGCACCCATTGTGTAAATAATCGGGAAATAACAAGTTGTTTGCTGAGTGTTCTCTTTCCGAATTTTTATGCGTTTCCCAAGGATCCGCTCCTTAAGCTGCATCCTAAGTTTGTTTGCTTAAAGTATGAGGCATAAGGATCAAAAATCGTCGGAAGTAAGACAAAGAAATTGAACATTGAGTTCCGTTTAAGGCAACGAAAACGATACTTTGGTGTTCAATTATCGAGTTTATAAAGGCAATAAAATGAATAAAAGACAGGAAAAGGTCCATCAAGTGATCTAATTGTGGAATCCGACACAACTGTGATACTTATTAGTACAATTTGTAAAGAACAGTAAGCACATTTTTAACTGTGAATGAAAAATGGGAAATTTGAGATTAGCAATAACCAGGATCAAATTTTGTTTGGTTCTTCTCGAAATTTGTAATTTTACCTTTCGTAATAATAAATGGTAAATTCTGTAATTCCTCTCAGCATGAAGACGCGAACTAGTGATATTTTGATGATCATGGACAAAAACAACTTTTACCAAGATCCGGGTGAGGGATTTAATACGTAAAAAAACCTTATGACGATCAGCATATATTTAATAATTAACTCTTCTTTTTACATACCTACCTACACACACAAATCCACGAATGATACTTGTAAATTTGATTGCAGATTTGGTTTACACGAGCAAAGCAAAGCATCATCTCATTGTTGCAAAAACAACGAATTTCACCCCACCAAGAATGCATGGAACACCTGTTGCATAGATGTATTGTTTGGTGATGATGAGTTGCCTGTTCTTGTTTGCAACTAATTTTTAACACCCTGAAAAATCTAAGTCAATCCTTCCACTCAAACTGGTTGAGTTTTAAACATGAAATAAGTAAGAAGAAGAAGGCAAAAGGAGGTGGTTAAAAGGCAAGTCAGATCAAGAGTCAATCGCGGAAAACGCTTACAACAACTTGTTCTTGGAACTTGGCCAGTTTCTTGTGTTTACTAAGAAAAAGTAGATGTTTCATGGTGAAGACCTTTAAAGAGGCATCGTACAACTGCTCCTTCTCGCTAATAAAAATCGTAGTACGTAATAGTAAACAATCTCAGTTAGTTAACGTCTCACTGTGGACGGGGATAGGGATTTACGTCGAAGGTGGTTGGTAGTGGCGAGTGAAGACCAAGAAAATGTAAATCGTGACAACAATGCAAGGTCGAGAGTTGACCCATCGAAAAATCTATAGTGCAGGTGCATGCACGACAGTCCGGCGCCGAGAGGAATGCCTTCTCAGACGTGGAAGGAATCCTAATCGTCGGCATAGCTGGGCGGATTCCGTCCTCCGCAGGCCAACCAGCCCAAAATGGCCCGCACGACTTCCAACAATGGGGTCGGAAACTTTGGTACGAGTTGAAAAGGATTGGACATAGTTTGCATAAAAATCTGAAAAAAATCGAGAGTGTGGTACAAAATTGGGCGTCGGGACGGTGTGCTTGTGCCCATCTATGACAATCACAGCAACTTACCCCATCCAGAAGACACTTCTTTTTCTTGTTCGTAACAACAACAATACAACACAATAATGGTAGAACAGGTCCTCTGCCTGCCTGCGTCTCTCAAGCCGTTCTGCTTTTCTCTCACTCTTTTATGTGCAGCGCCTCGGTCCGATGGCATCATCAAATATTATCGTAGGCACTGTGTACAATAACCAATCCATATCGGAGGGACGCTTATTTTGGTGTGCCATTTAAACCAAATATAAAATGTTGCATTTACACCAATGAAATCAAGTATCTCATTTAGGAACACTACATTTCTAGGCGTGAACCACACTCTCAAAGCAATGTTATGAATCTTGATTGATTTCTGGGTTTTTTAGGGGATGATCTTCTCAGGGTTTGACAGTTTTTGATCAGCCATCATTGACGTCGTACGCCTGGCCACCTCCTTCCTGTCCAGCGGGCTGACGTGGTTTTTTGTTAATCAGAGGTTATGGTCATATTTGGAGGCGATGGCTCGTTTGCCTGTTGGCTTGTCACTTCCTTTTTAGAAACAAGGCCTTCCCGCATTTGTCTGCAAATTAGGCATTCATTGTTTTCCTTTCTGGTCACGAACAATTAAAAAGTAAACTAAAACGGAAATGGTCCTCTGTCAAAGTCTCCTTGTTTGGATTCTGATGGGATGAGTATGGATAAGGACATGTCATGTGTAAACCTATGCAAATAAGAACGTACATTGCCTCATCTGCACATGCATCACCTGGGTCCAATTTCCCTCAGTTGTCAGTGTAAAATTAAGCAGGAGGGTCATTTGCGATGAATCTCTCGTGCAAGAGGAAGAATTTTTTTTACTTTGTGTCAAATTGGCTGAGCATCAGGTGGTCAGTAAATTGGTGATAATGACACGCATCTAATGATACCACACCGTCACTAAATGATAAATATTCGACGTGATCCATGCATAAAAATATTCGTCCGGCGACAAGAACGAAAGAGCTTTTTTACAGGAATGCCGTGATGAACGTGATCAGAGGAGAATTGAAGTGTAAAATTTAGCATGGTTTCCTTTGGTGGCATATTAATATGGACAGGTTGCATGGGTCCAGATTTTATTTATGGAATGCATGATAACCAACCACTTTGAGCTATTTTAAATTTGTACTGCATTATGCACGCAATCATAGAATTTTTTACAAAACAGGTGTCCCATCATCAGGTTTAAAGCTAAACGCCTTCCTTTCGCTCCTGGGATATAAATACTAATCGTGAGTGGTACACATGGAAGTAAATCTCTGCCCGAACATGTTGTTGGTTGTGTTTTTACAAAATATTAAAGTGCATATTATTGCGTAACATGATGTACTGGATGGGTTGAATTGGTCACGGGATGAGAATGATGGGTTGTACGTATGTGGGGAGGATTAAGTGTACCTTTATTCATGGATTATTTACTTTTTTAAGCTTTTTATTCGTGTATAGGACACTCAAGGGTCATTTGGACACTTGAGAGCCCTTTGTTCGACATACTTTAACTCGTTCGTGCCATTAGCCACGACTAGTGCTCGGCACGAGACGAGACGAGACGAGATTGCCTTGTCTCGTCTCGTCTCGAAAGTGACTCGAGACGAAATAATCGAGACGAGACGAGATGACGATTTTGTCATCTCGTCTCGTCTCGAGTCTCGTCTCGGTCGAGACGAGACGAGATGTCTCGACATTCATCCATGTTTTTCAAAATAGCTTTTGTATCAGATAATTACAAAATACAAATGCACAAACTGCAAATATTTAGAATATTCATAATTGGCCTTGTATTCTTTACATAGTAAACTACATAATTTACACAGAAAAAAATAAAGGATAAATCTTAATCGTAAGCTAGTAACGGGATGACAAAATTTTACGACGCTTCCATTGAGGCATTTCACGTCAGTTTTCGTTAGTACGTAACCACGTAAACTTACCAACCTTACGAGCTTTTGACAAAACGTACGAATATCTCTTTTATGTGATTTTTACCCAGATAAGTCAAATTTTTGGTTCGTAAGATGATCTTCACAGGCTTATGAACGTGGTTACGAGCTTACGAAAGCTTACATGAAATACCTGAATGACTCGCAACCGTCATAACTTATGTTACCTACTACATATGTACATATACAAAGAATACTTGGGATATCACGATTGCTTGACTTTTAGTGCCTAGTTACCCTTAACGGTTGCGACAAATGGTCGAGTTACAAATAAAATAATTATTTTTAAAAATAGTTGTTTCTTCTCGATGGTCGAAAAAAACAACTCTTTGACCTTTAATAACTTTTGAACGGGCAGACATAGAGACTTAATTCTTAAAGATGAAATCATCGTAATTTTTAGCTTGATTTTTTTAAGCTAAAAATCTCGAGGGTACTATTTCGAAGATTGAACTTGAAATCTCCAGTGTGCAGCCTTTACGAGCCCGAGTCAAGCTCGCTGTTATCGGTCAAACCGACCATTTTGCATAGAATTTTATTGTACCAAATGCATTTTACTAATGCACTTTACGCCTGTTTTTGTCAAATATACAATGTGTATTATGCACGTGCATACATATTATGGATTGGTGAAAATTTTACCTAAATTTGGGGTTTTAGCCCGAATCAGGGCTTATGTACCCGTTATATCTGTCTGTCCGTCTTGCGTCTTGTTATGTCGTAAAACTAATCATAACAATTGAATTAAAATAGGAAAATTTTCCGAGTTTATTAAGTTCGTGTTTTGTAATTGTTTATATACCAAAAATAAATCACAAAATTATATGCACATAGTTCATTACGAGTCCTGCTCTCAGAATAATGCCATCTTACAAGGCTCCGCAAAATTGTTGTCTTTTTAGCCTAAGTCAGTTCTTATCATGTCCTTCCGGAACACGATAGCCAAAATGGCTGAACCGATTGAGCTGAAATTTTCAGAACGGGTGAGACCGTAGGGCTTGATCCATACAGATTTTTCAAAAATATGCCACTCCACAAGTTTAAATGCATTTAAATGCATTTGCACAATACATTTTCATGGAAAATGGTTGGTTTGACCGACAACCACAGAGTCTGACTCGGGCTCACTGGAGATTTCAAGTTTAATTTTCGAAATAGTACCCTCGAGATTTTTAGCTTAAAAAATCAATCAAAAAATTACGATGATTTCATCCTCAAGAATTAAGTCTCTATGTCTGCCCATTCAAAAGTTATTAAGGGTCAAAGTAGTTGGAGACTCAAACGCCCTTTTTGAACCAACGATTTTAAAATGAATTTTTTATTTGTAACTCGACCATTTGTCACAACCGTTAAGGGAGACTAACGTTACCTAGATACTTAAAGTCAAGCAATCGTGTTGGGATATGGATACGAAGGAATCGTTACCCACAGTATATACAATTTATAATTGGAGTTATATAGTTAGTGTCATATTTGAGTATCTTTTACGTAAAAATCAGGATATTTGCAGATTGGTTAAAGTTTTGATCATAATTATTCATTTTAGCTAGTGTCTCTAAAAAATTTTTTGAAGGATACTGCATTTCCCAAAGCTGCTCGCTCCTTGCAGAAGGCTAGAGGACGGAGTATTTGTTGCTAAATTTCTAAATTTTTGATGAATCGAGTGGTCTCGTCTCGACCGAGAGTTGTCGAGACGAGATGGCGTCGATCTCGTCTCGTCCCGAAATCTTTCGAGATGGTCTCGTCTCGCGCCGAGCACTAGCCACGACAGCCAGTGGTGTGGCATATCAGTGCATATGGTAGAGCACGTCACATCACAGATCAAGGGACGGACGGGATAAAATAAAAAATCTTCCCAACATGAGGGACGCTGAATGGTTACTTAAAGTCAACTGAATGGGTCTGGCACACCTCAGAGCGACAAAACTCAAGTGAACAACTATTGATGATTGAAAGAACCAGGCGACGGAACGATGTCGTGGAATTTACGGCGAAAAAAATCTATAAACTCTGAACAAAAATGAAATTTCTTTTTATTTCAAAAAATCGTGACTAAGCAGGTCAGATGCAGATGCATGTATGGATGGAGCATTAGCATAAGGATGAAATATGTCTGGACGTATGTTGGAGTGGAAAAGGTTGAATAAATGATCGACTTCGCCACGGTCGTGGG